CCCTCTGCTCAGTTGCTACTCGGCCCTTCTCGCTACATCACACAGAAGAAGGGCTTTGGGGCCACTTTGGCTCTTCCACCTACACCGTGACCCTGTCTAGAGTTCAAGCACAGACTCAGGAGAAAGCCAACTTAAAGTCTAGACGAGTTGGTCTTCAGTGTCCCCGGTGTCTTTTCAGGGGCTTCCTTCCCCATCATCTTTCCCCCTTCTTCCCTGACATGTGAACTTGTCCTTGCCGTGTCCTCTCCTGTGGCCCCCTGCACATTCATATCTGCCTGTTCTATTGAGTGTCTACCTTTTCTGAAGCAAAGGTGAACGCAAAAAGGTCAGACAAGAATATTCCTATTTAGCCCATTTTAGAAACTAATGGGGGACAAGGACCAAGGCACTTCCCTTGGCCCTCAATAAGTTGCCCTGCATTTTCCACAAAGACTTCCTGAAGACGAAACCAACAGAAAGAGTAGAGAGTAGTGGGCAGTCCGTTCATGACGTACTGCAGACAAGTAGAGAGAAAATCATTGCAGAGGGACTGCTCCAAAGGCCACATTTTGCCTATTATGGAGGGCCAGCAGGTGACCCTGTCTCAATTTCTTTAAAAGGACTCCTGGCTTTGTGCCAGAATCAGCCTCCACTCCACCCCCCCCCCATCCCTGCCAACTCAGTCCTAATAAACTATAAACTGCAATTTAAAATAAAGCATGCATTTCCACAACCTTTCTAATGTCTCAGGGCTTAGCCTTTTTTTTTTTTTTTTTGCAGCCTATTGGCACTCAGGAGGTAGAAGAAACCTCAAGATGTATAAAGTGCTTTGGGATCCATCTGACAGACCAGGATAGAGAAATGCCCCACGCCTCCCTGGGCCCACAGGTGCCGCTGCTTGCGTTCAGTGTAAAGGATGAGATCAAACACGCTTTTCCTGACAGGAGCTGTCAGGCAGGGGGAAAGGGTGAGAATGCAACCACTCCTGTTTGCCCTAAAAAAAAAAAAAATGGATGAAGTGGAGACAGAGCCACTGTTAAGGGAGAGGATGAGGAGGGGCCTGGGGTCTTGGGCTCAGCACACCGTGACACAGCCCCAGGCTGGACATTTACAGCCCCTAGAGCCTTGCGTGAGGCGGGGGCCCCCTCCCAGATCCCTCCCTTCCCGGACCTGACCAGCTGGATCACCTTGATCTTCTCGCCCTCGATTTCAACCGTCTTCTCCCTGAAGTCCACCCCGATGGTGGCTTCAGTCTTGTCCGGGAAGGTTCCCCCGCAGAAGCGGAAGGTCAGGCAGGTCTTGCCCACGTTGGAGTCCCCAATCACGATGATTTTGAAGATGCGAATCTGCACGTACTGATCCAGCGACGAGTCCAGCTCCAGGGATGCCAGGCCAGCAGCAGAGGCGGGCTGCAGGCTCCCATGGCCCAGGATGGGCTGCGCCATCTCCCCGGGACCGGACCGGGGCCCCAACCCCCCTCGAGGGCTCCACACAAAGAAAACGGTGGCCACGTTAGTGCGCTCGAGGCGAGCGAGCTTTGTGCGTGTGTGTGCGTGTCTGTGAGTGTGTGTCCGCCCGTGTGTGCGTGCGCCGGCAACGTGTGCGCGCGCGCGCGTGAAGGGGGTGCCTCACACCCCAGGTCTCCCTCCTCCTCCAGCGCACCCTCCTTGCAGCTCCGAGGCACCAACACAAAAGCCAAGGAGAGGAGGAGATGGAGAGGGGTGGGCGAGAGGAGAGCCTTCCCCGTCTGCCGGCGCGTGCCCTCAGATGGGACGCTGGGGCGCGCGACCGTGGGACCCTCCCCTGCCTGGACTCCAGGGACACACCAAGGGAGGAAGCCTAAGGAGGCAAGGGAGAGGTGGGGAGAGCAGCACACACTACCCCGAGATAGACTTCCTTTCTCCTTGCGCCCATTTATGTTGTAGGTTTCCGGCTCCCAGCGCCACCCTCCCCCGCTTTGCTCGGAGCGCACGGGATCAGCCAGCAGGGAAGCACAGCTAGGGAGGACAAAGAGCACTGCACCCTAAGGCATCATTGGGGCACTTGGGCCTCGGAGCCACACGTCTCGGCGGGGTGGGGTGGGGGCGGAGACACCTCTTTCGCCTCAGAAGCAGCAGGCAGCTGAGCCGCGCCTCGGCGCTCCCTGCTCCCCGCCCAGCCTTGGAATAAAGAGATGCTCTGTCTTATTGAGTAAGCAGGTGCACTTGCAGGTCCCGAGGAGCTGGGGAGGGTGCTACCAAGACACGCAGTGGGTTGTGGGGAGCCCCGTGCAGCTGAGAGGAGGAAGCCGGGGGGCGAGGGTGTGCGTGTGTAGAGGGTGTCACTGTGTCTGTCACAGATTTGCCAGATGTAGGGGGTGCGTACCAGGCGCCAACCTCCCCTCATCACACCACGAGCACCCATCCTCTGAATGTTCAGGAGAGCAGCTCTCATTGGCTGTCGCGGTCGGTTGTGTTTGGCTGGCCAATGGGGAAGGCCTGCCGGCGGGAGAGGGCCATATAGAGGGTAGGAGAAGGGGGGAAGCTAGCAGTGGCAGCTCCAGCGAAAGAGGACTTTATTTCTGGGGCTGACCACTGCAGGCCCGAGGAGGAGGGATCTTGAGACATGGCATAAACCCCAAAATGTCTTCTATTCCCCAGCCCTCCGCTTAACCAGAAGTCCTTCCAGAATAATGGAGTTTCAAAGGGAGTTGGGACTCTAAGCGGGTTCACCCCCCTGCAGCTGAATGTAGAACCAAGTGGTTGGGTCTAATTTGCCAGAAGCCTAGATTATGCTTGGAAGATGATAAATGAACACAACTTTCTTACGTTATTAGAGGGCACCATCCCTCTCTCCAAAATGATTTGAAGGTTCAGATTTTGTTTGAAATCAACTTTACTGAGATACAATTTACATACAATACAGTGAACCCATTTCTGTTCGTTTTTAATACTTCATCCCCCCCAACATATTTCATAGGCAATAGCAGAGCACCGGCACATGAGTTATTGCTAATGCCATCAGTCAAGGGTTCATGTGGCACAGGTGAGCTTCCATCTTGTTTGTGTGTGAAGCAGAGCTGCAGGAAGACGCAAATGTGCCTAAATCCATTCCCATTAAAAGAAAACCAAGTCAGGGTTTCAGTGAATATATCTGTAAGTAAGCTGGAATGGGACTACTCAACCAAGTCCAAGTTACTCAAAACAAGATCTCTAGCTAATAGGCCTATTAGCTGAGTTAGCAGATATATTTACAGCTAACCCTTATAGCATATATGTAGGTCAAACATTTTTTCTATTTCAAATTATTTAATTTTTAATTTTTCTTTAAAATTTAAGCTATAGAAACTTCAAATATATATATATACCAATTTGATCACCCATTTCTAAAATCTGAGATTATACTATTCAACATTAAAACCATTAAAGAAGGCTTTAATCTTAGTTGGCTAATCCAAAGTCATCATTCTGAATATCAATTATAATACCATGTATGGATCATCACTGTAGAGTACTTTGGTTTTCTGATTCTGATATCTAGATAATAGTTTGCTGGGTCATTCTCCTCTGTGGTTTTGTAAATTGTAAACTTACTTTATTTGTAAGGGAGGGGGGGGAGAGAGAGAATCTTCCAATACTTCCCAAATGCCCACAATAGCCAGACAGCCATGGCTGGGCCAGACTGAAGCCAGGAGCCAGGAACTCAATTTAGGTCTCCCCTATGGTTTGCAGAGACACAAGATGCATGTACTTGAGCCACCAGCACTGCCTTCCAGGGTGTGTATTAGCAGGCAACTGGTATCAGGGCAGAGAAGGAACTTGAACCCAGGCATCCTGATACGGGATACAGGCATCCCAAGCAGTTTCCTAACCTCATCACTGAGCCAAAGTCCAACCCTCTCCTCTGTAGTTGAGGCTAATGCTTCAAATTCTTTTTTTCAAAAGATTTATTTATTTGAAAGTCAGAGTTACATAGGGAGAGAAGGAAGGGAGGAGGGAGAGAGGGAGAGAGAGAGAGAGGTCCCCCATCCACCGGTCCACTCCCCAATTGGCCGCAATGGCCAGAGCTGCACCAATGGGAAGCCAGGAGCCAGGATCTTCTGGGTCTCCCATGCAGGTACAGGGGGCCAAGCACTTGGGCCATCCTCCACTCCTTACCCAGGACATAGCAGAGAGCTGGATTGGAAGTGGAGCAGCTGGGACTCGAACTGGCACCCATATGGGATGGGCAGGCGGCAGCCTCACCTGCTATGTTACAGTGCCAGCCCTCAAATTCTTTTATTTTTACTTTTTTTAAAGATTTATTTTATTTATTTGAAAGAGTTACAGAGAGAGGTAGAGACAGGTCTTCCATCTGCCGGTTCACTCCCCAGAGGCCGCAATGGCTGGGGCTACACTGATCCGAAGCCAGGAGCCAGGAGCTTCCTCCAGGTCTCCCACATAGGTGCAGGAGCCCAAGGACTTGGGCTATCTTCTATTGCTATCCCAGGCCATAGCAGACAGCTGGATCAGAAGAGGAGTACCCGGAACTAGAACTGGCGCCCATATGGGATGCCGGTGCCACAGGCAGAGGATTAACCCACTGTGCCACAGCGCCGGCCCCTTATTTTTAATTTTTAGAGCTTTTAATTATTTATTTGAAAGGCAGAGTGAGACACAAACACACACACACACACACACACACTGAGAGAGAGAGAGAGAGAGAGAGAGAGAGAGAGAGAGAATATTCCATCTACTGGTTCATTCCTCAAACGCTTACCACAGCCAGGGCTGTGACAGACTCAAGCCAGGAGCTCAGAACTCCATCCAGGTCTCCTACATGGGCATCAGGGACCCAAGCATTCGGATCATCATTGGCTGCTTTCTCATGTGCATTAGCAGGGGGCCAGATTGGAAGTGATGTTCTGATATGGGATGCCAGCATCTCAAGTGGTGGCTTAATCCAGTGTGCCACAATACTAGCACCAACTTCAAATTATATTTTTAAATTTATTTATTTATTTGAAAATCAGAGGAACCAGGGGTGGGGGGAAGAGATCAATCCTCCATCCCCTGGTTCACTTCAAAAATGGCTGCAACAGTAGGGGCTGGGCCATGCCGAAGCCAGGAGCTAGGAGCTTAATTTTGGTCTCCCATATTGGGGCAGGGTCCCAAGGACTTGGGCCATCTTCTGATGCTTTCCCAGGCACATTAGCAGGGAACTGGATTGGAAGTGGCATAATCAGGAGAAGAACCGGCACCCATATGGGATGCTGGCACTGCAGACAGCGGCTTTACCTGCTACGCCATAGCACCAGCCCCCAATTTCTTATCTAAGGGAGAATAGCAGTAAAAGTGAAGAAGAGGTAAATACTAACTAGGTACATCGTATACATAAAGTGGAAAGAGGTTTTATCAACTCACAGCAACGATAACTTCCTGAGATATATCTTATAGCTACATAATCAGATTATTTAGAAGTATGCTTCTGCCAAAAACTTGTCACAGAGCCTACCCTTGTAAGGTATATACTTTGAGAGGCCACTGCAGTGGTGTAGTGGGTAAAACTGTTGCCTGCAGTGCCGACATCCCATATGGGTGCCCGTTTGAGTCCAAGCTTCTCCTCTTTCAATCCAGCTCTTTTCTATGGCCTGGGAAAGCAGCAGATGTTCCAATTCCTTGGGCCCTCGCACTCACGTGGGAGACCCAGAAGAAGCTCCTGGCTTCGCATCGGCCCAGCTCCGGCCATTGTGGCCATTTGGGGAATGAACTAGAAGAAGGAAGATTCTCTCTCTCTTCTCTCCTTTCTCCTCTCTTTCTCTCTCTATGCCTGCGATGCTAGCATCCCATATGAGTGCCAGTTCCAGATCCAGCTGCATACTTCAGATCCAGCTCCCTGCTAATGTGCCTGAGAAAACAGCAGCAGATGACCCAAGTACTTGGGTTCCTGCCACCCATGTGGGAGACCCAGATGAAGCTCCTGGCTCCTGGCTTTAGCTTGGCCTGGCCCCAGCCACTGTGACCATTTGGGGAGTGAGCCAGTGAATGGAAGATGTCTCTCTCTGTCTCTCTCTCTCTCTCTCTCATACACACACCTGTGCTCTCACTCTGCTTTTCAAATAAAGAAATGTCTTTTTTAAGAAAAAAAAAAAGGGGGCAACTTGCTCTAGTAAAAAGTATGTTATCTTTGTGGAGAGACACTTTGTGGGACTGCCACTTGTAATTTTTGGAATGATTTCTATAAGTGCATAATGCTTTTGCAAAAAAAGGATAAAATATTTTTAATTAAAAGGACAAGAAAACTACCTCATTGCATCATTGCGAAACAAAGGTGGGGCCAGTGTTGTGGTGCAGCAGATTAAGGCAGATGGAAGATCATTCTCTATCTCTCCTTTTCTCTAACTCTTTCAAATAATTTTTTTTAAAAAAATCAAACATGCCATATAGTCTTTTTTATTAATTGTGCATCATTAAATGACTGCTTTTTAAAAAAGATTTATTTATTTATTTGAAAGGCAGTTAGAGACATCTTCCATCCATCGGTTCACTCCCCAAATGGCCACATTGGCCAAGGTTAGGCCAAGCTGAAGCCAGGAGCCAGGACCCTGACTGGGTCTCCCATATGGGTATAGGGGCCCAAGCACTTGGGCCATCCTCTGCCACCTTCCCAGGTGCATCAGCAGAGAGCTGGATCGTAAGCAGAGCAGCTGAGACCTGAACCAGCACCCATATGGGACGCTGGTGTTGCAGGCAGCAGCTTCACCCACTCCCCCACAATGGTGACCAGTGATTGTGTTTTGAATGTATAGTTATTTTCATAGGTACCTGATCATCACGATTTTGACAAGCATCTTACAAGCCTTTTTTACAGACATGTTAAGTTTGTATTTAATCAATCCATGTTTATTAATGTTTTTTAGAAAGATCAATGTCTGAGGGCCAGTGCTATGCGTAGCAGGTAAAGCCACTGCCCAGAGTGCTAGCATCCCATATGGGCACTGGTTGGAGTCCCAGCTGCTCCTCTTCCAATCCAGCTCTCTGCTATGGCCTGGGAAAGCATTAGAAGATGGCCCAAGTGCTTGGGCCCCTGCACCCACGTGGGAGACCTGGAAGAAGCTCCTGGTTGCAGATCGGTCCAGCTCTGGCTGTTGCAGCCATTTGGGGAATGAACCAGCAGGTAGAAGACCTTCTCTCTGGCTCTACCTCTCTCTGTCTAAAATAACACTACCTCTCAAGCAAACATATAAAATATTTTTTTAAAAAAGATCAATGTCTGTTAAGACCTTAAAACATTAAAGAAATATGTTTACCTAATGCTAGAATTGACATTTTCAGTATTTATCCCTCAAAGCAGCTCTAGGTAAAATGTCTCTAATTCCCTGTATTTCTAAACACTTTTTAATCTGCTTAACAAGTAAGGGAACACGGGATCATTTTCACTCAATAAAGACTGAGCTAGACTTCCTAAAACAGTGCTGTAACTTCATTCTGTATCCCCATTCCATAAAATTTGTGTGTGTGTGTGTGTGTGTGTGTGTGTGACTTCATCCTCTATGTGATTAGGCTAAATCTTTTGCCGGTTTAAGTACGGCTCCACCGAACATACCTGTCCTTGTATTCATACTTCTTAGTATATAGTATGTACTCTCTTGTCATCGGACCCTAAAAATGTGCTTTTTTTTTTATACCTCCGGGCCTTTTAATTTACCAAGCAGCAAGGTGCTTCCTATAAGACACATTACAAACATTGGTTCATCTAGACTTCCTCACACCTTGTGAGACTGGCAGATCAGGAAAGTGAGGCGCAGTCAAGTGACCTGCTCTGAATCCAAGGTCACATGCTCAGCCACTCTGAAGGTTACCTTTGATCCCAAAGTATTGGTCATGTGCAGTAACATTCCTGCTCCTCCATGGTTTGCAATTCAGTACTCATCTTCAAGACACAGCGCAAATAACACTTCTTGTGTGATATCCTTCCTTAGTGATTCCACACTCTTCTCTCTCGATCTGGCCCTCATATATTATTTTATATTTAAATGACCAGTATATGTCATCTCCCCAACAAGACAGCGACCAGATCCTGTCTTTTTCCTCTCTGCCAGTCTCTTTTATAGTACAATGCAAGCAGCAAATGCTGAATACATACTTGTTAAACGAATATGCAACCCCAATCTGAAAAAGCCATGTGTTACATTCCGCACACAGCCAAAAACAATTCTTTCCAATCTATCTTATATTTGGCAGCGCCTCACCCAATTCCCCCCACCACTCTGAAAGCCCTACATTCAGATTTCTCCTAGACACTCTGTGTAGCACCAACCATGTTTGCTAGCATCCTGCTCTTCAGCACCTAATCTATAACAGCAGGAGACTACCGCAGTACCTTGTACAGCATCTAGGGCACAGAATTGCATAATATAAAAGTGAAACGGCGAAAGAGCGCGCCGAGTGGTTACTTGCCCCGGAAACGGGCAGGGTGGGCAACTTGTAAAAGACGGAAGTACACTCCGGATTTGCGAAGTCAGGTGGCCCGGCTCGGACCCAGGGAAAGACTGGAAGTGGACCACAGGAAGAGAATCCGGAAGGCTTAAGTGTCTTGTGGCCTAAAAAAGGACAGCGTGCGGTGCTGGGGCCACGCTTTGTGAGGTGCTATGATCAGTTCCCTTTACCGACACAGCGGCAGACACAACCACCAGACAAAGCGGATCCACGAATACCTCTTCGGACAGCATTCCAAAACCGCTCAGCCCAGCCCACCGCCACCGACAGGCGAAAACTTGCTATCTGGAGCTGGCTGGGGGGAGGGGGGCGGTCTCTGGAAGCACGCGGGCAGCTAGGCGCATGCGCAAATCTTTTCCATTTGTGGACCAATCACAAGGTGGCGCCGAGTGCTACGCCTGCGCAATAGGCATCTGCTCGCCGTCCCCCCCTCCCCTGTGTCTAGCAGGCCGGCCTCACTGTCCAATGCCCACCCGGGGCTGGGAGGAGGAGCTTGCGTAGTGTGCGTGTGAAAGGCGGGGGAGCGGGCCGGGGCCCGTGGTGTTTGACCCGGCTGTCGGTGCGTAAGAAGAAAGGGAAGGAGGAGGTCCAGAGTAGCCGTTGCCGAAATGTTCCGGTGTGGAGGCCTTGCGGCGGGTGCTTTGAAGCAGAAGTTGGTGCCCTTGGTGCGGACAGTGTGCGTCCGAAGCCCGAGGCAAAGGAACCGGCTCCCAGGTGACTGACACATCCCGGGCAACCCCCACCTTGACGTCCAAGGGCTTGGGCGCCATAGGCTCCCTTTGCCTCGCAGCGCCCCCCCCCCCAAAAAAAAACCTTAAAATTGTCACTTTCTCGTGAATTCTTAATTGGCAGAATCCAAACCTGAGTTTTGCAAGCAGAGGAGTTGGCACAATCCTGCCGACCTGACCTTCAAGAGATTTGAACCCAGTAGTTGGCTTGAGGCCTTTTCCTGTGGGGGTTTGCTATGTAGTGGTAACAGAACAAGTGGCCCTCTCGTATTGTCACTGCCTCCCTGCCACCTGCATCCCGCATCTTTAGGGCAATGAGGTCAAGTAGACTTTGCCATTTGCCTTGTGGGAGCCTTTAAACAGAATATTTAAGCCCTATGCCTAAGTTTCTTCCATAACCTTTCAAACCCCAGATGAGATCCAGAGATTTGAGTGCTCCATGAAGCAAATGGTGTAGTACAAATAAGATGTCAGGCGGTTGTGCACCAGCCTCCAAGAGAATGGGTGCAGAATTAATTTGAGAGTCCTGGCCAGTGTCATTCTTGGTGCTCTTTAAAGCTCTAAACAGCTTGCAGCGTGCATTATATTTGCCCTCCAGGAGGTTGCTTGATCAAATTTTAGAGCTGCAAGGGGTTTTGTGGTAAAGTTCAACCCACTCATTTTATGGGTAATAAACTGAGACAGGTGAAATTACTTGCTCAAGGTCACATAGTTAATTAATAGGTAGGGCTAAGGATAGTTTGCCAGACTCTAGGCTCTTATTCCCTTGCTATAACCCCACGTTGCTACCTAGTTTGGCTTCAAAAAGTGAAGGATGAATTTTGTTCCCTCCCCAGTAATTCTCATTGTACCTCAGATAGCCATGAATTTGTCTGAGTATGGCTTGAGCCTACTTTATAAAAAGAAAAAAGATTTATTTATTTATTTATTTGAAAGGCAGAATTAGAGGGAGAGGCAAAGAGACAGCTTCCATCTGCTGGTTCTCTTCCCCAAATGGCTACGATGGTCAGGGCTGGGCCAGGCAGAAGCCAGGAGCCTGGAGCTACATCTGGATCTCCCACATGGGTGTCAGGGGTTCAACTACTTGGACCATCTTCCACTGCTTTCCTGGGTGCATTAGCAGGGAAGTGGACTGGAGGTGGAGCAGCCAGGACTTGACCTGGTGCTTCCATGGGATGCAGCGGCTTAACCTACTGTGCCACAGCACTGGCCCCAATAAGCACAATTTGACAGGGATAATAAGTAATCCACATATACAAGATGCAATTTTTGAATGTCCACCTTAGGGAATTTGCGTTTGCAACATCAAAATTATCCTTGAGGGTTTTAATATGTGAAAGCACCCACCTTATGAGTGCTTTAAAAATGAACAGTGGAAAAACATTTCCCTTGGATTCGTCAAGTGATTGCAAATGTATGTTTGAACAGTTTTTCCTATTGCTGTGGGTCAAGAAAATGTTTCCTGGTAGGTGTGTATGAGTGATGTCCTTGGAAGTACTGCTTTTAGAACTCCTAAACGGATGTCCCATCAATAGATGTCATCTCTGTGGGTTGCTGCATTGAAACGATGGTGCTTTATGCACGCTGCACAGAACTTTACAGAGAAATTGAGATGACCTGAGGATTTTCATTCACACTGGCCTTTCGAACGTTGTGTACTCATTTTGGTTAAGACACCTTCTAGCAGCATTTTGAAGTCCCACCAAAAGTTCTCATTAAATGAAATATACGTTTGCAAAGTTAAATTGATTGATTAGACATTTGAAGGTGGTTGGTAAACATTCGAACTACAGAAAAATATGGGTTCAAACTTTTTTTTTTATTCCATTGCATGGCTTTGTTTGAAGGTACAGTAAAAAATATTCTAACTCCCTGACATAGCTATCTATCACTCTCTACACACTTAACTGTGTTTTTTGGCCATGTACCAGAGTATCCCATCACTTGCCTTTAGTTTCCATAAGAAATGATGATATTCTCGTTTCAGAAATCAACTCTGTTTTGTGACTTGATTACTAATTGCTTTTAATCTGATTTCTTTTTCACATCGCATTTACCATATGTTTTTGCAAAAGTAGGGAAGAGGCGGTGTGCATGCATCATCTCCCTCTCCTCTCCCCGCCTCCACCCCCAATTGTTTGCCAGGATGTCAGCACACTTTAAACCTACCTTGAACCAATCTCATCCATATGTATCAGCATTGTCAGGTTCATTTCTATCATGTGCTGCCTTTTGCCTTAAAACTATAATAAGTATTTTGTTTGTTTGAATCCTCTGCCTCCTTACAGAGATTATTGAAGTTGACTAATAGCCACCCCTCTGCGTGTGCATTCAGTACTAAGGAGCAGATAGGTTAGGTAATAGCTGTTTTCTGCTCTCTAATATTTTATTTGGTCACCAAACATCATGCTGCTCACGTGGTCAGACTGATTACTGACTCCCTGAACTGAGATTCAAATGTTTGAACATTTTTCTCTGTTTGAAATTCTTCTCACTTTTTTTTTTAAAAAGGAAACTGGACTCCTTTTGGGCAAAGATCCTGGCTTTGAAGACACTGCCAAATGAGACACCTTTTTTTTTTTTTTTTCCGGAAGCCTAGAAAAAGTCTTCCTCCTACTCTTTCTACTTGTACAAGGCATCCCAGAAGAAAAACTTTGGCAAGTCAGCCCTTTTATGTGGCCAGTAAATAAGTTAGATTTTTTTAGAAATTTTCTAACTTTTTGACACATTGGCTACACATCTTAATATTCTTCTAGATCATGTTTCCAGAAGTTTACTGGTCATATGTATCAAGTGGATTATTGACCCCAAACTATTTCGGGATCTCCAGGAAGGGATCTAGATTTAACACGCCTCTTGATGTAATTCATATGATCAGGCAGATTTGAGAAATGCCGTTTTGGATGCCTACTCTTACCCTATCTGTTCCACTGGCCAAAGGATTTAAAAACCAAACTAAGCAACGTTGAGTCTCTTGTGAATTGGTATTATACTTATTTTCTTTTTTTAAGGTTTATTTATTTATTTGAGAGAGAGGTCTTCCATCTGCTGGTTCACTCCCCAAATGGCCACAATGGCTGGAGCTGAGTCGATCCTAAGCCAGGAGCTTCTTCGGGTCTCTCACATGGGTGCAGGGACCCAAGCACTTGAGCCATCTTCCACTGCTTTCCCAGGCCACCAGCAGAGAGCTGGATCAGAATTAGAGCAGCTGGGACTCGAACTAGTGCCCATATGTGATGCTGGTGCCACAAGCAGAGGGTTAGCCCACTATGCCACAGCACTGGCCCCATACACCTATTTTCTTTTTTTTTTTTATTTATTTGACAGGTAAAGTTATAGACAGTGAGAGAGACAGAGAGAAATGTCTTCCTTCTGTTGGTTCGCTCCCTAAATGGCCGCTGTGGCTGGCGCTGCACCGATCCGAAGCCAGGAGCCAGGTGCTTCTTCCTAGTCTCCCATGCGGGTGCAGGGGCCCAAACACTTGGGCCATCCTCCACTGCCCTCCCGGCCCACAGCAGAGCTGGACTGCAAGAGGAGCAATCGGGACTAGAACCCGGTGCCCATATGGGATACCGGCGCCGCAGGTGGAGGATTAACCAAGTGAGCCATGGCGCCGGCCCCACCTATTTTCATACTATGAGAAAGTAAGTCTGATACAGATTCTCTCCTCCTTGACTATAACACTACCTAAGGACCAGGGTTATATCCTATTTATTTTTGTGTTCTCCAACACCTTGCACAGTCTGACATGTAGGAAGTTCTTGGTAAGTAAACTCTAGCACTGTGAAGGACTTTGCAGTATAGAGTTCCACTTCTTTTTCTGTCATCTAAATCATTTTTCCTTTTGCACCTTTCATCAGAGTGGTTCACACTGTACTCTAATTATTAGACTCTGATTCTTCCAAAACTCCAGCAAAAAATGACACTGAAAAAAAAAGGCAAATAAAGTTAAATAATTGTGGGACTCCTTTTAAAGAGGCATCTGGCTGCAATGGACAGACTAGGCTTGTCTTGTCCTATGTTTTATCCATGTTGGAAAAATTGGTTTGCTACTAAGTGAGCAAGTCTCAAAAGCATACAGGCCTCTTAACCATTTGGGATTCCTAAGTGGCTCAGTTGTGTGGATATATTTCTGGAAAAGACCTGGGAGTGTGGAAAAACAGGAGATATGAAACCTGCAAAAATGAGCTTGCTGGTTTAGGTGCTATTCCAATGTTAATCTTTTAGTGTTTAATGTTACTAATTTATTATTAAGCAACCTGAAACAAATAGGATTTGGCAGAAACTTTGCAAAGAATGCCTACTGTGGATCAGGCACTACTACACAGAGTAAATTGACTTATTGAGAATTAAATCCCATATGTGAAGAAGAAATCTCAACCTCTGTATGTGCGGATTGGGCTAACTATGGAAAATCTAAAACAAGTAAACTGGTACAGTAATCAGAAGTCGGGGAGTAAGCTGCCTTTTCCCACATTAGTACAAGTGAAAAGGCATGTTTTAGTCACAGTATAAACATTCCTAAAATCCTGAAGCTATGAGGAAAAAGATATGAGAATGATTTCTTGGGTAAAATTGGAAGGAGAATATGAACACCACCATAATGCTTATCTTAGTGCCATTTACAAAATTAGGGTCACTTTATAGGGATGTAAAAATTGTCTTTTTCACAATAGTGTTGTATTACATTTCTTTTCAAGTGGTAATTTAAATGTTAACCAATTTATTTTTTTGAAGGCTTTTTGCTTTTTCTTTTCTTTCTCGCTTTCTTTAAAAAAAAAAAAGTGAGGCAAAAGCTACTGAACTATCCCAAATCCACACTTAGTTTTATCAGTTTATAAAAAGCAAACAAAAACAGAATAAACATATCAGTATTGAGAAGATGTCTGTAATTAAGATCTAGCAGGATAAAAAAGAATTTTTTAAAAAATGTTTATTCTCAGTAAATGAACCTGGGAGGTAATGGTAGAGGACAAACTGAGTTCGCTGAACTAAACTAAACCACGTGGAACTTTTTCTAACCAGTTTCATTTTCTAAGCTCTGAGAGTTACCAGTTTCTACTTCTGATGCTTACACATTTTTATGGCCTTCTGAAAATCAAAAGCTTGTCAAATTGAAATAAGCTTCTCCCCCTTTCACATTTTTTCCCTCATCATTTGTTGTTATTTCCAAATACAAACCGTGTTGTTCCATGTGGTAATAAAAGATTCTAAAGCAAGTAAGAAATGACGATAAAGAAAAAAGCATTTCCTATTCCAAGAGTACAAGTCCAGAGTCTTCCAATTCAGTTCTAAATGTGACTATCAGGTTTTAGTAACTCATTTGCCGGTAAAACCTGACCTGAACTACAGAGAGGCTACTTGACAGTCATTTTTAAATCTTGCTTAGTGTGTGTGACTGCTCTTGCAAATATGAATGTGTACGGCTGGCACAGGGTCACTGCTGTGCTAGGGGTCACTGTGTCCGTATACTTAGAAGGTTCAAAGTCCACAGGGTCCCAAGGGTTTCAGATGAGAGGCTGCAGATCTATTGGGCTTGTTTTTACACCCTTTGTGTCTCGACAATGTGAAAGCAAGGGGGAAAGCTCCCCATCTCTGATCTCTACAAGTATAGGATGCTATTCCCAGGGCCCATTCTGTTTGTCTCTTAAAGCTTAGTCAGGACAGGAACATATATATCAGCTTGTAGAGCGAGGTTCCCATCGTCATCACCTGGGAACTTGTTAGAAAAGCTTTTTACTGTGCCCCCTCCCAGATCCACTGAATCAGAAGTTCTGGGGGTAGGACCCAACCAGCTATATGTTTAATACTCCTCTAGGGGATTCTGACATGCTCTCAGGTGCAAGAACCACTGGTGTTTTGGTTTTTTTTTTTTTAAGATTTATTTCTATTTCTTTGAAAGGCAGAATTACAGAGAGAGGGAGGGAGAGAGATCTTCCATCGGCTGGTTCATTCCCCAAATGACTACAATGGCCAGGACTGTGCCAGGCCAAAGCCAGGAGCCAGGAGCTTCTTCCACGTCTTCCTCATGGGTACAGGGACCCAAGCACCTGGGCCATCTTCTGCTGCTTCCTCAGGCCATAGCAGAGAGCTGGATTGGAAGTGGAGAATAGCTGGAAAAAATTAAAATATGCTATTTGGTGACACATGGAAATTATATAAAATTAAGCTTTCAATGCCCATAAAATTTTTTTTTGGAACACAGCTATGTCTATTTGTGTGTTGTGTGTGGCTGCTTTCATGCAACACCAGCAGAGCTGAGTAGCTGCAGGAGACACTAAATGGCCCACAGGCTGAAAATGTTTACTATCTGGTCCCTTACAGAAAAAAACAGAGCTGCTCTAGGTCTGTAGTCAACAAGCATGAAGAATAATCACAAGCAGAGAAGGTACTGAGACCTTCCGTTATCCAAAATAGCAGCATTTCCATGTGTGAGTGTTGTTATCATCAGCTCACTACAGATAACCTTTGTATTATTTTGGAGGTATATGGGCCTCATTGTTGATAAACACTTTACATTCTGTCAGTCTAAAAAATGATATTCTTCATTTCTTTAGGGGAGATAAATTCATTTTTTAAAAAATTTCTTCTGAACATTAACATTTCTGTCTGCTCAGACACATTACTTATCGGGCAAGATTAAACTGTGTCCTTGTTAGATTGTATTGCAGGGTTTTATTTGGTGCAAGGTTTGAGCCATTTAGATTACTCCTTAAATGATTAGTAGTTACAGTGTCCCAGGCAGCCTGTGGTTAACTCTGTATAGTCTACCCTCCCTATCTGTGGGATTCAACCAACTGGGATCAAAAATATCAGAAAAAAAGTTAAAGCTGTACTTTTTTTTCTTGTCCTTATTCCCTAAACTACAATAGCTATTTATGTATCATTTACATTGGGTTAGGTATTCTGTGTAATCTAGACATGAGGTAAAGTGTACAGGAGAATTGTATTGGTGATGTGCAATTACTACACCATTTTTAAACTTTTTTGAGCATCTGTGGATTTTGTTATATGTGGGGGGGGGCGGTTCTGGAGCAGATCCCCTGTAGATCCCAAGGATGACTATAACTACCTATTTAATCATCTTTGTGTTGACTTCATTCATGTGAGAGAGGTATTTGATGAACCGCTCGTATTTTCCATGATCTTTTCTGAAAGCTGTAAATTTCTTCACTGAGCAGTATTGTACTCTTAAAAACCCCAACAACTGAAGAGTGTGTGTTCAGATATCTATAGTATTTATGTGTACAGTTTTGATTGTTATTTTTCTTGGTCATTTAACAGTGAACACCTTGCAGCCCGGTAGGCAGTAAGTCTTTACTTGTATAATGCATTGATGTTTAATCATGAACATGTATTAACTCTTTTATTTTTGTATGTGTGTGTGTCTTAATGAATTGTGTTCCTTAGGCAACTTGTTCCAGCGATGGCATGTTCCCCTAGAACTCCAGATGACAAGACAAATGGCTAGCTCTGGTGCCTCAGGGGGCAAAATCGATAATTCTGTGTTAGTCCTTATTGTGGGCTTATCAACAATAGGAGCTGGTGCATATGTAAGTAGAAAAGCAGCCTGTGTCAAGAAGCTGCCGGACAGCTCCCACTCACAGACCCAGTACTGCTCTGCTTTAAAACTTTTGCAACTAATTCCCCTTTCTCCTTTTGGAAAAAAATTCCAAAAGCCTTCTCTGAAGTGCTGACTGTCTCATAACCTATGGGGGCCAATTTGGGAATGACTGAAATGTAATCTTGCTGATTGATCTCTGCTCTTGTCACTTGTCTTTTCTGAGATTTGACTAACCCACCACATTGTACCTGTTCTTTTGGACACAGCACACTAACCTGTGAATAAAGTCAAAATTCATTGCAGCTCCTTAGCACAATATTTGATTTTTGACCCACTTGCCAAATATTTTATTGTTCCGCAACTTAAAATTAGCATTTAGAAAAAAGCTAACAGTCTTCAGTCAACAATATTAAGCATTCCTAAAAGGAAAACTAGCCCTAAATCTTCCCCAGAGACTAAATTATAGAAGCAGGCCTAGTGTCTCCAGTTTTAGAATGGAGTTTGTGTGAGGTAAGAAATATGGTATTTAATTGCTACATAGTATTAGCATAATTATATCTCCTTAAAGGAATTCTGATCAGCTTAGCAGGTCACAGAGGAATTATTCTGTGGGTGTTTTTTTTTAACTTGGCAGGGTTTACCGTGACTAAGCAGATCAATCTAAAGTTGGATCCTTTAAGGTTGTATGAACCAACTTAGATAACACCTAGTAACATCCTTGATTGAAGAAAGCTGTTTGGTTTACTTACTAAGAGCAAATGGTTCGAAGCTATTACAGTTTTAGTCATTTCTGCTTTGGCAAGATAGTGAAATTACCTTTGTTCCATAGTCGCTAGGTTTAGGGGGGGGGCATGAAAATTATTTAAAGCAACCTGTATCTTCATACCCTGACCTGTCTCCCAAATGCACAAGAAAAGTAACCAGCTCTTGTCAATTGTGAATCAAAACAGAGTAAAAAGTCGGTGAGATCTGGCATGTGACATACTTGGATAAAATATGCATTCTCCTCCAATCCTGGAGCAGCATTTGGTTTTCTTTTTCCTTTTTTAGCACAGGGTAACCAACCCTGCTTCCCTGCCTTTGTATTGAATGTTTTTTTCATTAATACTTAGTGCTTTTTTCAATCTCCTTTTGCTTCTCTCTTGGCCTTATCTTTACCTACAGTTGTGCAGTGTCATCACCTAGGATCCCCTTCTAGATCACTAGCGTCCACAGGTTCTTCTGGGAAAGATGGCAGCAGCCTAGTGTACTTCTTAATTGTAGGAGCAACAGTCACTGGGGCAGGAGCTTATTATGTAAGATGCTTACATTATAATGTATTTTGGGGTATGGTGGGTGAGACCATGGCACTAATGAAAACTTGATCCATTAGAATACAGTAAAATATTTCACAGCATGTGCTTTCTCTAGGTGTTTATTAAAGGGACATTGTCAGCCTCCAGAGAGTCATCACATCTCATTGTGTAAGCTGGTGAAATTCTACCAGCTATATCTAAAGCTATTGATTATAGATCCTCATCATCAACCCTTTCTTTGAAGCTTTTACCAATTTTATAACTATTTTTATGAGCTAAATTATATTGTGCTTTAGTGCTGCATATCTAACAAGACAGTCTTAAAGTGTAAATAATAACTTGAATGCCATCCATTTTGAAATGCTTTTATATTTATGTTTTGGGGGAAACAATCCATGAACCATACTTTTACTGTGAAAAGGCATTTTATTGAATGCTTCTGAGGAGGTCCAAAAAGCCAGACAGTGAAGCTTTCGCCCCCTCCCACCCACAGCCTCTACTTCAAAGCAAATTTCTTTGGCAGTGTCCCTTTTGTAATATCTAATTTGACCAACTACTAGTGGCTGAAGTGGTATGATAAACTAACACATTCATGGGGATTGCTTTCTTAAATGCCTCTCGTTCATAATTCAGATACTGCTGTCTGAGCCTTAACTTTTCCATTTCATATCTCTCTCAGCTTTTCCCATCAGTTCCACCCCATTCATTCAAAAATCAACTCTTAAGTGTTTGTGTTCTATATGTTTGTAACAACTTAAACCAATTAAACCTCTGGTTTGTGCCACTGTACCAGAGTTGGATGGCCTCCACAGAGCTGACAGTGTAAATTTTCTTGAGGCCAGGCCATAATACAGGGCCAATCACTGTTGCTTTCTCTTGCCAAAGTTCCTCTCAAGTCATTCAGTTAAATGCCTCATTGCTCTCTGTGTTTATCCAACACTGGTAATAATAAAGCTGCTGTATTATACTGGTTCTAGGTTAAATGATAAGCTTTTGTCTACCTGTAACTGTTGTCAAACTATTTTTGTACACTTCTGTTTTAGATTTTAAATTGTTGAAATCGTTCTTGATCTGAGGTGGCTTAGAATTTTTCCTCTGAAATTAGTCTTAGCTGAACCTTTCATTGAAAATCGGTGTTCAGACTTGGTGAGAAATGTCTGTAAGTTGTTTAGTGTTTGTATTAGTTTCTTTGGCTGCTCGAACAAAATCCCACAGACTGCATGGCTTCAACAACAGAGGTTTATTTTTCTCATGCTTGCAAAGGCTGGAAAGTCCAAGATCAGGGTCAGATAGGGTTCAGCTTCTGGTGAGGGCTCACTTCTTGGCTGACAGAGGGCCACCTTTTTGCTGTGGCCTCACTCACGTGGTAGGGGAGTGACAGAGAGGGTGCACGTGTGCAGAGCTAGCTGGCGCTGGTGTCTCTTCCTCTTACAAGGGCAGCACCCCTATCAGAGTAGAGCCCCACCCTTCTGACTTCATTTAACCCTTGTCACTCCCTGCAAAACCCCATCTCCAGATAGCATCATACTGGGGGCTAGGGCTTCAGCGTATGGCTGGGAGGAGACAGCATTATTATTGAGACACCATGTATTATTGAGTCCATAATAGCATCCCCTTATAACTTTTTTCTCACATTCAAGTAAGAATACTACTTCAGCAGTTTGTGGATTGGGAACTCTTTACCTTCCTCCTGCTCCATCCACCCCCCCCAAAAAAAGGTAATAAACCAATGGCCTTTTAAAATATTTATTATGATCCATAATAAGAAATGTATTTGTCTTGGCAACTCATAATAACTACAAATACATACAACTGAAACATGATTTCAAGAAGTTGTCACTTTTACTAGGTGTGATATATATACCATTATTAATATTTTCTATGTGTTTTTCTAGTGCTGGGATTAGCCTAGTGAACAATTTCACAGCCCATTAGTGGGTTGCAACCAGTTTGAGAAATTGATTTCTGTAACACCTCTGCTGCTTCAATTGTAAATATGAGCCCCTGGTTGGTGGTGTTGTGAAGCTTTTCCTTTGCTTGCTGGTGACTTTCTCTGGACCTTAGATCCCCTAATCCCAGTCCTGTTGTTTGTCAGGAAGCGCAGCCAGAGTGCCCTTTAAAATCTTTACATGAGACTTAGCATTTGAGCCCTTTGTCACTGTTCAGCCAACAGGAGCACATTGCCTTACTCAGAAAATCACTTGTTTCCTTTCAGATTCCTTTAAGTTGAGTAAACACCACCATACTCATGTTTTTAGAAAGGCTGTCCCCACTACTATTTTCCATAAGTTTGCAGTTTTTTATAACCTGGAGTGTTTATGTCAGTGATTGGAAATCTCTGCAAACTGAGGACACAGAAACCTTTGGGGAAAAGGTAAAGTTTTATTTAGTATGGCTATAAACTTATTTTTATATCAGAACATTTAGCTTGAAAGCTGATGTGTGTGCGTGTGTATATATATACACACACATCTGCAACAAGCCTCAATCTTGCCCTTTCCCCCACCAAACCACAAGCTATTTCTTGCTTTATGCCTCCCTTCACATGTGAATCCATTACGAGGTGTGAGCTGGGCTTGAGCTATGTTTGGATCTCTCAGCATGAGCGTGGTCCCAGTTTATTCCTCTGTTCATTCACTTGATCAGATTAAGCCGTTTTCTTAGGTTAAAGTCCCTTTCTTAAAAGAAGTGATGTTTCAGGTATGGGTAAATATTAAACTTGTGTGGGTACAATACCTGATGTCAAGATAAAAGAAACTCCTTCCTGAAATTAATACTAATTGAATTCAATTTGTTAGTAAATTTAATGGCAAATTCAAGGACTCACTGTTGTCTTTTAAAGTACAGAACTTTACTTTCTTTTATTTATTTATTTATTTACTGGAAAGTCAGAGTTACACAGAGAGAGGAGAAGCAGAGAGAGAGGTCCTCCATCTGTTAGCTCACTTCACAGATGGCCGCATCGGCCAGAGCTGCGCCGATCTGAAGCCAGGAGCTAGGAGCTTCTTCTGGGTCTCCCACTCGGGTGCAGGGGCCCAAGGACTTGGGCCATCTTCTGCTGCTTTTCCAGGTCTTAGCAGAGAGCTGGATCTGAAGTGGAGCAGCCGGGACTTGATCCGGCACCCATAAGGGATGCCGACACTGCAGGCAGCAGCTTTACCCGCTACACCGCAGCACCAGCCCCAGACCTTTACTTTCTATACCATTTGTCTGAGATGTTGAATGTCTTCAGCCCCAGGGTCCAGATTCCCCAATTTTAGCACATCAGTGTTCCTTTATTATTTTTTTAGGATTTATTTATGTATTTGAAAGGCAGAGTTACAAAGAGAAAAGGACGCAGAGACCTTCCATCTGCTAGTTCATGCCCCAAGTGGCTGCAGTAGGCGAGACTGGTCCATACGGAAGCCAGGAGTGCAGAATTCCTTCCATCTTGGCCGGCGCCGCGGCTCACCAGGCTAATCCTCCACCTTGCGGCGCCGGCACACGGGGTTCTAGTCCCGGTCGGGGTGCCGGATTCTGTCCCGGTTGCCCCTCTTCCAGGCCAGCCCTCTGCTGTGGCCCGGGAGTGCAGTGGAGGATGGCCCAGGTGCTTGGGCCCTGCACCCCATGGGAGACCAGGAAAAGCACCTGGCTCCTGGCTCCTGCCATCGGATCAGCGTGGTGTGCCGGCCGCAGCGCGCCGGCTGCGGCGGCCATTGGAGGGTGAACCAACGGCAAAGGAAGACCTTTCTCTGTCTCTCTCTCTCACTGTCCACTCTGCCTGTCAAAAAAAAAAAAAAAAAAAAAGAATTCCTTCCATCTTCTACTGCCTTCCCAGGCACATTATCAGGGAGCTGGATCAGAAGCAGTGCAGCCAGAACTCTTAATCAGCATTTATATGGCTTAACCCACTGCACAACGCCAGTCTCACATCACTGCTCTTTTAAAATAAGTCTCTGACAAACAAACTTTGGTGCTGTGTGTTTTATTTAAAAAAACTAATCATAATAAAGTGCCCCTCATCAATTTGAAAGCGTAGAAAAGATAATGTATCTGGGGCCGGCACTGTGGCATTTTTGGTAAAGCCTCTGCCTACAGTGCCAGCATCCCATATGGGCACAGGTTTGAGACCTAGCTGCTTCACTTTCAATCCAGCTCTCTGTTATGGCCTGGGAGAGCAGTAGAAGATGGCCCAACCCCTTGGGCCCCTGCACCCATGTGGGAGACCCGGGAGAAGCTCCTGGCTCCTGGCTTCAGATCGGTGCAGCCCCAGCCATTGCGGCCAATTGGGGAGTGAACTAGTGGATGGAAGACCTCTCTCTCTTTCTCTCTCTGCCTCTCCTTCTCTCTCTGTAACTCTGACTTTGAAATAAATAAATAAATATTTTTTAAAAAGATAATGTATCTAAAATACAACAGGTGTTTGAACCTTTAAATATCTGTGTGTGGGATTTTCTTGAATGAGACTCCTTCCGCCTCATTGGTTTAGGAAAAGTATAGTCCGTTGAAGGAAAGGTGAGTTACTCTAAGAACAAGACCCAGATAGGCCTGTTTCCAAGTGTTGTCTGGATACCAGCAAACCTGGAATGCCCACCAGGAAAACTTAGGCCCTACCTTGCTACCCAGGACCATGTCAATTGATTTCACAGCAGGTGTCCAGCATAGTCCTAGCACCTTTCTGCCCCTGATATAAAGTTTAACCCTTTTTAGCACTTCATGCTTCCAATATAAAATAGTTTTCTGTAACTGTACCCCTCCAGAATTAAATATATAATGAGAGTTCTTTATAGAGAGCCTAAGAAAATCTGAGACTGAGACAGTTCCATCTGCTTATGTGTATGTGTATTCTTTCTACACCAAGCACACCCAGCATTTTTTACTTAAGAAAATAACTTTACCTTAGTGGTTTTAACCTAGAAGGACCAGTTTTCATGTAGACAAAAGCTTCTCATTTAATTGAAAAATAATATTTCTTCTGATACAGGCTAGCTCTATGGTAAAATAGACTTTCTCCATGTTCGGATCTGCAGGCCTACAAGACGATAAAAGATGACAAAAAAAGATATGATGAAAGAATGTCAGGGTTAGGGCTGACACCAGAAGAGAAGCAGAAAAGGGCCACAGCATCTGGTGAGTATCCCCTTAATTCTCACTGTGACTTTGAGACTTGTGAAAGGAAACAGTTCGGGCTTTTTGATTTACGCGTATCTTCTGGAAGTAATGATGGTATGAGATCCTAAGCTTCCAGAAACTATGGTATTTTCCCAGAGCTAGAAGCAATCTGCTAAAAGTATTTGACTGAAATTTGAGTTTGAGAATGAAATTAGTGGCAATTATGATTGGTTGTTTTTCTTTATATTAGGCTCTTAAAAAGGCAGGCAAGTTTGGCAAGGAAAACCATTTGAACATGGATGAAAGCCACTTTTTTGAATGAGGAAACTTTTTTGGTCTGTTTTGTTCCCCCTTTTGAGGCTTTGGAGTTTTGAGTTGTTAAAGATATATTTGTTTTCCTGAAGCACACAGCCCTAAGCTGTCACTTCCATCCCACGTGATGTGCTTGATTCTTCAGAGAGGCATGTTTTAATCCTTTAATAAGCCCCACAACTCTGGGAGGCAATTTGTGTTGCTTTCTTCAATAACACCCCCTTATTCGTGATCATTGTGTAATAATCCCTAATTGACCTCCTGGGTTTTCCCCCTTTATTGCTAACAAAAGATGAAACTGAGCTTGCTATTATCCTGGTGGTCACTAAATTAACACGAAGGGCAGAGGCCTTCTCTTATGTACTGTCAAATATATTTTTTGCTTAGCATTTTTCCCTTGTGAAATGTAAGGAGATACTTGGTTTTCCTCTCTTGTCAGAATGCTCTAAAGTTTAAGATTAATATGGGCACTAAATTTTGTTAATTTAGTGCAAAGAATTTAGCCAAGTACAAGGTGATTTTTTTTTTTAATAGTGGCAAGGAGTCATCTGAGACTTGAAGAAGATTCACCCTGTCTGGTCTATCGCTTACAGCTCCAGAAGGAGAGCCAGTTTCTCAAGTCAGGGTACCCAGTCATGTTCCTTTCCTGCTTATCGGTGGAGGCACTGCTGCTTTTGCTGCAGCCAGATCCATCCGTGCTCGGGATCCTGGGGCCAGGGTAAGGTGCACGGGATTTTGCTTGGCACACCGGGTATTGTCTGCAAACACTTAGCCACCATGAGCACTTTGACATTTGCCTCTTAAATGACTTGCTTCTGATAAGTATTATTTTTGTGTCTAAAGGTACTGATTGTATCTGAAGATCCAGAACTGCCATACATGCGACCTCCTCTTTCAAAAGAACTGTGGTTTTCAGATGATCCAAATGTCACAAAGACACTACGATTCAAACAGTGGAATGGAAAAGAAAGAAGGTGTGTTCTATGTAAAGTGGGCCAGCCCAGCCATTTCAACTAAGCGCAGGGAGTGGGTTAGGATTTTGCCACTGATTGTGTGAAGAGAATAGGAGGGATGACTTGGCTGTTCGCTGGTGTCCAGTATGGTACGCACAGCCTAGAGGCAACAGGCTACAGAGGGCAAGAATCCTGGATTCTGTTAGGAGATCTACCAGCAGTTGACCACATAATGGTGGCCTCTAAAATACTAACACTCCTGTCTCTGGCACCTGTGTGATGGCCTTCTCTGGTGAGTCAGCTGACCTGTGTTGTCACTTCTTTATACTTACCTTATACTTTATATATTTGGATATGTCTCATAAAAGCAAAGCAGACTGTGTAATGGCACTTTCTTTGACACCCGAGCAGACACAATTGTAGGGTAGAGGAGGAAGACTGTAAGAAAGAACCTCTTGGGGCCAGTGCTGTGGTGCAGCAGGTAAAGCCAGCATCTGCAAAGCTGGCATCCCATATGGGCACCAATTCATGTCCCAGCTGCCCCACTTCCCATGCAGCTCCCTGCTAATGGCCTGGGAAAAGCAGCAGAAGATGGCCCAAGTCCTTGGGCACCTGCCACTCATGTGGGAGACCCAGATGACGCTCCTGGCTTTGGCCTGGCCCAGTCCTGGTCATTGCAGCCATCTAGGGACTGAACCAGCAGATAAAACATCTTCCTCTCCCCTCTCTCCCCTCTCTCCCCTCTCTCCCCTCTCTCCCCTCTCTCCCCTCTCTCCCCTCTCTCCCCTCTCTCCCCTCTCTCCCCTCTCTCCCCTCTCTCCCCTCTCTCTCTCTGTCTCTCTCTCTGTCTCCCTCTCTCCCTCTCTCTCTCCCTCCCTCTCCTCCTCCCCCTCCCTCTCTCCCCTTCTCCCTCTCTCCCTTTCTCTGTTTCTCTCCCTCCCTTCCTCCCCCCTCCCTCTGTAACTGACTTTTAAAATAAATAAATATTTTTTAAAAAGAGCCTCTTTATTAGAATGTTTGGGGCCAGTGTTGTGTGTAACAGGTTAAGCCTCTGCCTGTAATGTCGGCATCCCATTTGGGCACTGAGTACCCAGCTGTTCTACTTCTGATCCAGCTCCCTGCTAATGGACCTGAGAAAGTGGAAAATGGCCCAAGTTCTTGGGTTCCTGTACCCATGTGGGAGACCTGGAGGAAACTCTGGGGTCCTGGCTTCATCCTGGCCTACCCTTGGCTTTTGGGGCCATTTGAGGAGTGAACCAGCAGATGGAAAGTCTCTCTCTCTCCTCTTTGTATCTCTGCCTTTCAAATAATAAATAAACCTTAAAAAAGAATATTAGAATGTTTGCATGAAAGAAATAGAGGGCTAGAAGCCTTTTCCTTTTTTTTCCTCCCCTCTCCCCTGCCTTTTCCTTCTAAAGAACCCCTTAGATCTCTTGATTCTGGCACTGTGTTCTTTTAGTTCCAATTTTTTTCCATTAGTGATCCCTTTGATACTCAACTAAATTTTGCAAACCTACCCACCTCCCTCAGCCCCACTATCGTGTTCCATGTTCAAGTAGGATGCTTACTTCCAATTAAATTAGCCACCTCTCAATTAATATAGTTAATTAATTAGCTATTTGAGGCAGCAGCATCTCAGGAGCTAGACCTAGTCATTCCATTGGCCAGCAGCATTCTGGACAATTCATGTTGGTGGGTACGTGAATACCAGCTGCTTGGGTGCTCCTCTTCTGATTGGAAATGAATCTAAATCTAGAGTTCCTCAAACTCAGCACTGTTGACATCTGGGCAAGGATAATTAGTTGTTGGGGCTAGGGAACTGTTCTGCACATTATAGGATGTTTAGTAGCATCCCTAGCCTCTACTTACCCAAGTTGTCATGACCACAAATGTCTCTTTGAGGGCAAAATTATACTTAGTTATGAATCATTGAGTGTTCCATTGGAAAATACTCCAAAAGATTTTTTCATGATGGCAATGATTTTATTAAAGCTATGGGGGACGCTGATGGCAGTCCCAGATGCTTATAACATTTTCCCCCTCTTTTCCATACAGCATATACTTCCAGCCACCTTCTTTCTATGTCTCTGCTCAGGACCTGCCTCACATTGAGAATGGCGGTGTGGCTGTCCTCACTGGGAAGAAGGTGAGCCAAAACGTTGCTTCCTTGGTCAGGCTCTCCTATGTGCCTGCCAGCACAGAGAGCAATGTGCATTCCTGCTGCCGTCCATGTCTGTGCTGCCTGTGTAGTTCATCAAAGAAGGGTCGAGTCACTTTAGTTTTGATGTTGCCCATTATGTCTTTCTGGGGAAAGCACTGCTGGGTGCGTATCCTGATCCAGAAGTTTGAAATGTCAGTTTTTCCAGTTTTGGAATATTTTCATAGACGTTACCTGTTGGGCGTCCCTAATCCAAAATGCAAAATGCTCCGAAATCCAAAACATGTGGAGCCTGGAGTTGACGCTCAAAAAGTGTTACATTTCAGAGCATTTACATTTGGCATTTTTGGATCTGGGATGCTCAGCTTATGGTATCAAAGCCTAGGATAGCACGCCTGCTACATTTTCTCAAACTGAGGTCCGTGACCCTCCTATTTGCTCTTCTGCCCTTCATCTCCTTCCTGTTTTTCTGGGACTAACTTTTCTCTGGGATTGTCAATGATGAGATATTGACAAATGTTTATTATTCAGGGCAGTAAAATAATTCAGCAAAACTCGGCATGGAAGATATCATTAGACTTTACAAAGGGTGAGTGCCTGAGTAATGGGCAGTTATCAGAGGACATTCATGGGATCCCAGGAAGGTGTTATTGTGTAGTGTTACGTTTTGATTTTGTTAATGGAAAGCACTGCAGTATGTTTGTAAACTAATGGCAGTGTTTCAGTAGGGAGAGGAGGGTTCTCTGAAGAAGTAAAGCTCAGGGTAGGTGGCTTCCAGGGCACGTGTGGAGGATCCATCTTTGACAGGGGTAGACCTGCTTCTGTAAAGGGACATTTGGCAGAGAAGATGGATCTAGGTTTGTGGATACACTGATAATGAGCCATTGTGTGTTAAGTATCCCCTGTGTGTAAGTAACAGCCAAGGCCTGCCTTCTAGGGGCTAACAACACTAAGCAGAGACCTAAACACATGATCGTAACACATAGATGTATAGTAAGACATGTATAGTGTGTTGTAGGAATTACTGGGAAGAGTACCTGTAGAGTGATGGTGTCGGAAGGCTTCCTGGAGGAGAAAGCCTTAAGAGAATGCGGAGACTTATGGAATAAAGAGGTATTCACCGCACAAGAGGAGAGTGAAGAGCATTCAAGTAAAAGTGAGCAGTGTAGTCAAAGGCTCAAGGATATGAAAAAGCATGAGAAGTGTAAAGGAAAGAGGCAGACAGCTCCAGATAGAGCAGAAAGTACAAGTTGGGAGTGGCAAGGGATGAAACTGAGAGACGCAGCAACCTGGTTGTAGAGGGCATTATTTGTCGTGTGAAAGAGCTTGCGCTTTATCTGCACTGGGGAGCTATTGACTTAGACACAATTATAAATGCTTTGATTGAATTGTAAATTATCACAGTTGGCCAAGAGGGGAATGGATTTCAGGGGGACGAGACTAGAGAGAGACCATTGGGAATATCTTTACAGTAATCCAACTGACATGATAAGAGTGCAAATTAGGACAACAGAGATGATGATGATGAAGAAAAAGAGCTAAAATGTGAACAGTACTTATTCTGATCTCAGAAGAAATGCTTTATGTGTATTGTCTAATTTTAACCTTATGATAATCTTAGGAGGAAGGTATTATTTCCATTTTAAAGAGAAAGAAATCAAGATTTTTAGAAAAATAAACAAGTGAATTTAAATAGCTCACCTAAACTCACACAGCTAATAAGTGGCAGAGACGGGATTTGAGCCAGATCTGTCTGTAGCGTTGGGACCCAGATATTCTGATTCCGGAGCCTAAGCTCTTAATAACATTGCTGTATTGCTTCCTGATATGAAGGGAAAGAAGAGTGGGGGGTGGACTTGAGGCCTGCTTAGCAGGCCACTTTGACAAGGCCCAGTGGTTGATGAAAGGAAGGAGAGAGAGGAGGCAGAGGGGATTTTGTAATTCTAGCTTGTGTGTCCGCGTGGATGGCAGGGATCCCCTAGCTGAGAATGGCAACCCAAGAGGAAGAGCTGGTTGAAGGGGAAGATAGAATTCAGTTTGGCAGTGTTAAGCATGAAGCACAGCATGTGTGTGAAGGTGTCTTCCGGCAGTTGGATGTAGACTGTGATACCAGGGGAGGGAGCTGGGCTCAGATAGGCATTCAGGAATCATCTACATGTATGTGAGAGCTGAAACCATGAGTGTGCGGAGGCCTCCCAGGGAGAACTTCAGTGAGGCTAGGATGGAACCCTGGGGAGCCCCAGCTTTGAGAAGACAGGCTGAAGAAGTGGACCCACAAAGGAGACTAGGGAAGCATTTAAGGAACAGGATGAGAAGAGCTGGGCCAGGTCCAAGACGTCAGGGGCTTACTAGAAGGAGGATGCGATCTCCAGTGTTACTGTGGCAGGGAAATCTGCTAAGAAAAGGATTGTCAACTGTCCCGTTCAGTTCAGCGCTTCAGCCATTAGTTAGTTAGAAGAGAGGATGAACCACTCTTTCAGAACGCTTGAAGGTGGGGGCAGGGGCCAGCGTTGGGACACAGCACGTTAAGCCACCACCTGTGACTCTGGCATTTCATATGAGTCCCTGCTTCTCCACTACTGATCCGGTTTCCTGCCAGCGCATCCAGGGAGGCAGCAGATGATGGCTCAAGTACTTGGCTCCCTAGGGGACACTCACCTGGGAGACGTGGCTGGAGTTCCAAGCTCCTGGCTTCAGCCTGGCCCAGTCCCAATCATTGTGGCCATTTGGGGAGTGAACCAGCTGATGGAGGAGCTGTCTCTCTTCCTCTTTCCCTCTCTCTTCCTCTTTCTCTGTAACTCTACCTTTCAAACACAAATAAATTTTAAATGTGGGGGCAGGCAGATAGCCTAGTGGTTAAGATGCCATCTCCCACATTGGAATAATCGAGTTTGATTCCCTGCTCCAGCTCCTGACTCCAGCTTCCTACCAGTGCAGATCCTGGGAGGCGGTTGTGATGACTCAAGTACTTGGGTCCCTACCACCCACATGAGAGACCTGGGTTGAGTTCTTGGCTCTGGGTTTTGGCCTTTAAGTTTGGGTGGCACTGGCACTGTGGCGTAGCGGGTAAAGCCATTGCCTGCTCTGCCGGTGTCCCATACGGGCACCAGTTCAAGTCCTGGCTGCTCCACTTCTGACCCAGCTCCCTGCTAATGTGCCTGGGAAAGCAGTGGAAGATGGTCCAAGTGCATGGACCCCTGCACCCATGTGGGAGACCCAGAAGAAGCTCCAGACTCCTGCCTCCAGATAGGCCCAGCTCTGGCAGTTGTGACCATTTGGGGAGTAAACCAGCAGATAGAAGACCTATCTCTCTGCTTCTGCCTCTCTAACTCTGCCTTTCAAATAAATAAATAAAGCTTTAAAAAAAAAGTTTGAGAGGGCTGGTGCTATGGCATAGTAAGTAAAGCACTGCCTGCAATGCCAGCATCGCATATGGGCACCAGTTCATCTCTCGGCTGCTCCTCTTCCAATCCAGCTCTCTGATTATGGCCTGGGAAAGTTGCGGTAGATGGCCCAAGTACTTGTGTCCCTGCACCCATGTAGGAGACCCGGAAGAAGCTCCTGGCTCCTGGCTTCAGATTGGCCCAGCCCTGGCCATTGCAGCCGTTTGGGGAGTGAACCAGTGGATTATTAAAGACCTCTCTCTCTGTCTCTCCCTCTCTGTAACTCTGCCTCTGAAATAAATAAATAAATCTTTTTTGAAAAAAGTTTCAGTGAGAAAAGAGGGGTAGTGATTAGACAGAACCGAAGGTGGGATTTATTGGCTGGTCCAAGCATGTTAATGGGTCGAGGGTATAAAATGTCAGGAGAGAGAGAGAGCGTAGGGAATAAGTGGGTGATTCTTAGAGGATGGGTCCAGAAGGGCAAGGAAGAGATGGAGGTCAGAACAGAAAGGACACCGCATCCCAGAAGCTGGAAGAAAGAAGTGAAGAAAGATAGGAACAGGTCTTTGGGCAAATGAGGAACTCTTACAGGAAGCTGAGAACGATCACAGCAAATGGCTTCACTTGCTTTTGCAATAAGACCTGACCTAAGGTGGTTTTCTGAGAGTAGACAGTGTGAGGGAGGGTCCAGTTAGGGGGATTGTGGAAGGGGGCTTACCAAGGATGAACCAAAGGAGGCTAAGGAAGTTACACGGCCCTCAGATCTCAGTTTATGCCCTTGTTTCTGGGAAATTTCACCCATCCCAGCCTGACTCGAGTTCCTAGTGCTACCTGCGCTGCCCTTACGACTCGTGCCACCATTGTCACTCTTGATTACTGTTGGTGCTTGTTAAACTGTCTTGGATACTAAACTCTGAAGGCAGGGAGGATGTCTGTCTTTGTCGCCTTTGTGTCCCCGGCACTTTGCACAGTGCCTGACGCATAATAGGTGCTTAATATTTCTTGGATGGTCTCACAGCTGCTAAGGAGTCCTGATCTCTCTGACTCCAAAGCTCCAGCTCTTAACCATAGAAAGGAGTCTTTGCAAGGGCATTAACGGAGCTGGCAAGAGAACAGTTCGGATGATCTGCCATTGTCCCAGAGTGGCTGGTATTGAACAGTGAGCCAGGTAAACAGAGAAGATGGAAGCAAGTGTGAGAGATGGTAAGAGTGAGAGAAAGCTGGGAGGATGCAAAATTGGGACCAAAGAGCGGAGTGTTTGAGGTATAAGTAGAGGTTTTGTTAATGACAAGGTTCTGGATGTGGCTCAGAGGAAAAGTACAAACCAGGTTCCAAGGTCTTCAGTGAATGAGAAGGAGTGGCCAGGAGGTGGCTCCATAACAGTGATTTGCAGAGAGAGAGGTTGGAGCCTCTCAGAGGCGAATGAAGGCCTAAGAAGCTGGGAGCAGCAGCAACCTCAAGAAACCTGGAAAACGCCAGCCTTTCCTCTGGGCTTGTCACGTGAAATGTGCGTGAACTCACAGTCACTACACGTAAGCTGTCCTTGGGGGTGAGCCAAGTTTCAGTGAAGACTAGAAGTCGGAGAAGGCATTCTGCAAAAATGCTGTGGATGTGCAAGAGTTGTGAAGAAAGAAATAAGGGTTCCAAGTAGCCACACAGAGAAAAGGCTGCCCCCAGAGCAAGGGTTCAGCCTGGTGGTTGACACACCCACATCCTGCATCACAGTACCTCGGTTGGATTCCCAGCTCAGGCTCCTGATCCAGCTTCCTGCTAACGCAGACCCTGGGAGACAGCAGTGATGGCTCAGGTAAATTAGGTTCTTGCCACCCACATAAGAGATCTGAATGGAGTTCCTGGTTTCCAGCTTCAGCCCCTGGACATTGCAGGCATCTGGGGAGTGAACCAGTGGGTGGGAGTGCCTGCTCTCACACACTCTCACTCTTTTTTTTTTTTTTAATTTTTGACAGGCAGAGTGGACAGTGAGAGAGAGAGACAGAGAAAGGTCTTCCTTTGCCGTTGGTTCACCCTCCAATGGCCGCTGCTGCAGCCGGCGCACCGCGGCTGATCCAATGGAGAAGCCAGAACCCAGGTGCTTTTCCTGGTCTCCCATGGGGTGCAGGGCCCAAGCACCTGGGCCATCCTCCACTGCACTCCCTGGCCATAGCAGAGAGCTGGCCTGGAAGAGGGGCAACCGGGACAGAATCCGGCGCCCCAACCGGGACTAGAACCCGGTGTGCCGGCGCCGCAAGGTGGAGGATTAGCCTATTGAGCCACGGCGCCGGCTCAACACTCTCACTCTTGTGGGTGTGCTCTCTGTCCCCCCCTCCCCCCTCCACTCCCTCTTTCCCTCTCTCCCTTGCTCACTTTGCTTCTCAAAGTTTGTGGGGAAATGGAATTAGAAGATAAATTTACTTTTTAAAATAATTTTTTAAAAGAAAGGAAGAAAGACTGTCCCCATTCTCTGTTTCCACAAATCAGACAAAAACTCAAGGACTGTGTAACTTGCTCTAATGCTGACTGCTTAGGAACTTATGGCCACTTGAAACTGGATACTAGAAGCTTTGATTCCAGTGATTACTTAGGAATGATTTTTTAAAATATTTTATTTACTTGAAAGGCAGAGTGACAGAGCAAGAGGGAGAGACAGAGAGATTTTCAACCCACTGGTTCACTCTCCAAATAGCAGTGATGGCCAGGGATGGGCCAGTATGAAGCCAGGAGCCTGGAACTCCATCTGAGTCTCTCACATGGGTGGCAGAGGCCCAAGTACTTGGGACATCTTCCTCCGCCTTCCCAAGTGCATTAGTAGGGAGCTGGATTGGAAGGGGAAGAGCTGGGACCCGAACTGGCTCTCTGATACAGGATGCTGGTGTCTCAGGCTGCGGCTTAACCCACGGTGCTGCAGTGCCAGCCCGGAAATGATTCTTAAGGATCACTTCAGGTCAAGATCTAATTCTTCTCATTGAACTGACAGGTAATAGATGTGGGGATTGTGTCCGGGGGTGATGGAAATGTTCTGTAATTAGGCTGTGGTGATAGCTGCACAATTTTGTGAAGATCCTTAACACCACTGAACTGTACACTTTACACTTGTGCATTTTATGTTATGTGAATTAGATTTCAATAAAATATTTTTCAAAGTTAATTCATCTCTACCTCTTTCATGTGTCTGTGTGACTGTACCAGGTAGTACAGCTGGATGTGAGAGGCAACATGGTGAAACTTAATGATGGCTCTCAAATCACCTATGAAAAGTGCTTGATTGCCACAGGTACGTATTTCGGGAGAGGACTTTCTGCCCTGGCGGCTCACTGCAATTTGGCGGTCCGCCCTTCTCTGGAAGGCATCACTGCCTAATCTGAACAGGACGGAATCCAGATTCTCTGAAGCAGGCGTCTTCCCTCGGTGCACAGCCTGGCCGAGTCCAGCTGTCTGGATCACCAGCCCTTCTGCATTATCCATGCTGTTGCTTCTGGTACAGGCGTGAAGAATTTGCCCTTTTCATCTCTTCTTGCTTAGCCCATGCCCTGTGCCCTGAAAGCGATGCCATCTGTGGCTTCATTGTGAGTGCCCATCAGAAATCAAGAAAGGAGGGACAGGCGTTTGGTGCAACGGTTAAGACGCTGCTTGGGATCCCCATGTCCCATGTCAGAGTGCCTGGATTCAGTCCTGGCTCTGCTTCCAATTCCTGCTTCCTGCTGATATGCACCCTGGTGATGGCTTAAGTGATTGGGTCCCTGCCACCCACGAGGGAGACCTGCATGGAGTTCCAGGCTTCTGGCTTTGTCTCTCCCAGCTGCTGCCTCTGCCTCTCCCTCTCCTCCCTCCCTCCCTCCCTCCCCCCCTTTCAAATAAATAAAAGTAGGGAAAAAATCAAGAGCAGAGAGTGAAGCAGTTTGTTAAACCAGCATGGCTGTGCTAGCTGGGAGTATTCATGATACACTAGAAGTGAACATGGAAGCAAAAATATGAGGCCTTTTTGGCCAGCTGTGGAGAGGGTACACCCCTTGAGAGACTCTGAAATCTGATCCTCCAAAGAAATTGATTAAAAAAAAAATCCTGCCACAAGCTCAAGCGATTGGAGGAAAACAAAGTCATCTTACCCTGTAAGTGCCACTGTGGCACCAGCAGGGAGCACACACAAGCCACGAGCCACAGTCCCAAGGAGAGAGAGTTCTACCTTTGGTTGGCGGTGGGGGGTGGTGATTAGGGTAGCTCCTGCTTGTGGACTAATGGGTTTTCTTCCTCTTATTTCCAGGAGGCACGCCAAGAAATCTCTCTGCCATTGACAGGGCTGGAGCAGAGGTGAAGAGCAGAACGACACTTTTCCGAAAGGTATCTGTCTGCTTTGGTGTTTTCCTCGTGGTGTTTTTGAAGAGGTAGTATCATCTTGTGGCCTCCAAGTACCCACCGTGGAGCTGGGAGATCCCAGTGTTATTTATGGCTCTTTTCCAGACGTGTTATCTGGCCTTGAGCAAGACACTTCCTCTCTCTGCACCTCAAACACCTCATTCAAGGGTTTTAAGCTCCTAGGAGAAAAATACATCTAGCGTCTTTATTGCTCGTTATAGTTCCTGCTCATTGCCCTTCCATGCTTGTTTTTTCCTGATGCATTTGAGTCACTGGAACTCCTTGTAGCCTCTTGGTGTTTTTCATTGCAAGTGCTATGTGGAAACCTCGGGGAGAAAAGTGAGAATGAGTACCTAAGTGAAAAGGAAGGGGGGGATTGTTTGCTTCTTAAGTGCTTTGCTGATGAACACTGCTGTAATTCTCCAGCGACTCTTGGGGACATTTTATACACTCTGTAGCATCCTTTAAGTTCTTGATAGGACAAGGCTTGTCAGCCATGGTGGTGTTGACATTTTGGCTGGATGGGTGTGTGTTGTTGGCGGCTGTGCATGATAGCATGTTCACAGCACCCTGACCTCTGTCCACCAGATGCCAGGAGATCCTCCCTGCCCTGACCATCCAGAATATCTCCAGACATTGCCACATGGCCCCCTGGAGAAGAAGGGATAAAACTGTCACCAGTGGAGAACCTTTGTGGATGGAAGGAATGTTGCAATGGAGAGAGACAGTTGCCTAGAAATTGAACCACTTTTTACCAGGAGACATTCTATGCAAACTAGTGTTGTCAAAGATTAAGAAAGAGCTATTTGCTAGTGTTGTTGTCTGTGCCCCTTTGGGGGATCCATGCGCTAAACTGGTGTGATCCTGCAGATTGGAGACTTTAGAGCCTTGGAGAAGATTTCTCGAGAAGTCAAATCGATTACGATTATCGGTGGGGGCTTCCTGGGTAGTGAACTGGCCTGTGCCCTTGGTAGAAAAGGTGAGTGCTGGGGGGTGACCTCGGTTTTCTTTCTCTTGTCTTATATCACGTGCTTTTTGGTGGGTTCTCACAAACTCCAGAAGTGTGTTCACCAGGGCCGGTGGCTAGAGTTCAAGGTTTACAGTGAAAACCCAAACTCTGAAACTGATTCTGGCACAGGCTCCCCTGTTGACGGAAAAGCTGTCCTCTGAGCAACTTAATAGGGGTGCTTTCTCCCTGTTCCTCTCGCCTCTATGCCAGGACTCCTTGGAAATAAGCTATTAAGGCAAGTGGGTTAAGGTGCTAAGGGCAATGCAGACTATAGAACTACTGCCTATGAAAAGCCAAACTCTTCCCTCAGCCTGACAGGTCGGCAAGTTCCAGTTGGAATGTTTCATGGCAAGCATTTTGCCGCACGTTACTTTCCAGCTTTGTGAACTCGGGGCACTTTCCTGGGAGGGTGCTCCTTGTTTGGAAGTGGCAGAGCACTTGTAGAAGCCTCAGGTGACAGCATGGGTGAAGTGCACTGGGTTCAAGTCTTCAGATTAATCCAGGGGTAGCAGATGGAGCACCTGTTGTCTTTGCCATGTGAATGAACTTGGGCAGCAAAGCCTTCATGACCCAGTGTCCCGTCAACAGGAGTTCTGGCCTGGACCACACCTTTGCCCTGTGCTTACTGTAGGCTGCCTACTGTACCTTTACTTTTCTCTCTGTCTTCCTGGGATTCACTTTTGTCTCCTGCTATAACTACTCCCTTTCTTCCCAGCTCGAGCCTCGGGCAAAGAAGTGATTCAACTCTTCCCTGAGAAAGGAAATATGGGAAAGATCCTCCCTGAATACCTCAGCAACTGGACCATGGAAAAAGTCAGACGAGGTAGAGAGACTGCTTGTGCTGCCCCTGTATTTCCTTTGAGTGTGGCCTCAGGAAAAGTTAGCTTCTTTGGGAACCTCCCGAATATAGGGCTCTATTTCCTGGCAGATAAAATGTTTCCAGCTTTCTCCAGCTATCCAAGTTTCTAGAGGTATTCTAAATCGGATGCACCATTCCCAGAAGTCCTAAAGATGAACTGTGGTGGTGTTTCTCACAGCTCCCCAAGGCTGCCTGCACACTGATGATGAGTGCTTTTACTCTGGGAGAGGCCTCTGCTCAGCTTCTCCGCTCAGGAAGGTCACAGGCTCCTGGGCTCAGTCTCAGTGCTCATTTGCTTTTACAGAGGGTGTTAAGGTGATGCCCAATGCGATTGTGCAGTCAGTTGGAGTCAGCGGTGGCAAGTTGCTCATCAAGCTGAAAGATGGCAGGAAGGTAAGCAGGGGAAGACAGGCTTCCAGGAGACCTCTGGGCTCCCCTTCCCCTTCTCTCACTCCTCTTCCTCCATCTGACACCAGTAGATTTGGTTTTTTGGCAGCCACCATTAACTTGTCATAATTTTGTGAATTAACTCCCCCCTACACACACATCAAAACAGAGAGTGATAATAGCCAGAATAGGCATCTGTGAGCCACTTTCCTTTAGCTCCTTCCCATCTGTGTCACAGATTTTGAGTCCTTGCCAGGGTGCCAGATTTCTCCTCCAGTGATACAGGATATGTCTGTGAGGTGGTAGCAAGGGGAGCAGGGATTATGAAATAGAACTTAAAATCCATTTGCCAAAGGTAAATCAACTCATGTTTTTTTTATAAGATTTATTTATTTGAAAGGCAAAGATACAGAGAGAAAGATACCTTCCATCCTCTGGTTCACTCACAACGGCTGGGTCTGGGCCAGTCCGAAGCCAGGCGTTTTGTCCAGGTCTCCCACGTGGGTTCAGGGGCTCAAGCACTTGGGCCAATGCTCTGCTGCTATCCCAGGTGCATTAGCAGGGAGTTGGATCACCAGTGGAGCAGCTGGGAATCAAATCAGCAAATACATGGGATACTGACACTGCAGGCAGAGGCTTAACCTTCTGTGTCACAGTGCCGGCCCAAACTCATGATTTTTTTTTTAAGATTTATTTATTTATTTGAAAGGTGGAGTTACAGAGAAAACGAAGTCTTCCATCTTCTAGTTCACTCCCTAAATGGCTGCAATGGCCAGGGTTGGGCCAGACCAAAGCCGAGAGCCAGGAGCTTCCTCCAGGTTTCCCATATGTGTACAGGTACCCAAGCACTCGTGACACCTTCTGCTGCTTTCTCAGGCGCACTAGCAGGAAGCTGGATCAGAAGTGGAGCAGCCAGGGCTCAGACTGGTGCCTATAAGGAATGCCGGTGCTACAAGCTGCCATTTAACCCACTATGCCTCAGCACCAGCCCCAACTTGGGATTTTTTTAAAGCCCCAATTTCTAATGGCATGATGTGCAGTTCTTATGCCCACAGGAGTAAGTGGAAACTATGGTAATTGGCTGAATTATTTCTTTGTTGCCTCAGGTAGAAACTGACCACATAGTGGCAGCTGTGGGCCTGGAGCCCAATGTTGAATTGGCCAAGACAGGTGGACTGGAAATAGACTCAGATTTTGGTGGCTTCCGGGTAAATGCAGAACTACAAGCACGCTCTAACATCTGGGTGGTAAGTGTGCTACAGCATGACTAGGTGCTGTTCTTCATCCCCAGCCCATGAGCCCGGCTGCATGATGGCGTGCCCAAGCTCATGGACAGCCTAACCAATGAGGGTCAAAGTGCGTAGAGGCCAAGGGCAGGCAACAGAAGCTTGGGACCTGCTTGAGTTAGAAGATCAGGTATGACCTGTGACCTCACGTGCAAGCTGTTGGAGAGGAAATGAACAGTGCACATGCCGACAGCATGAGAACTCTCCCGGTTCTCACTGTCAGAAGCAGCCATTGGCATAACCCCTGGCGGACATGTAGCACAGCTTCCGTATGAATCTGCTCTTCCCTTTGCTCAAATTTGAGTCCAGGGAGTGGGGGATGAAGCAGTTTTATAACATGTTCCCTGGAAAGGAAAATGACTCTGTTTTCATGTTCCTTGAGTACTATTTTTAGCTATTTTTAAAAACCTATTATGATATAAACAAGAATGTAGTAGGTAAGAACCAGGAGGTAATTTCCCCATTGCTACATGGTCACAAGTGCATTGTGTTTGGTTATGGACTTTGTAGCTCAGGACACAGCAGCCTTGGGGGGTGTTTGGCCCCTTTATAACTTGCTTTTTTTAAAAAAAACGGGGGAGGGGGCAGAGAAAATGTACCTGTTATAAAAATAACACATGCTCAATGTTGAAAACACAAGAAGGGGGCGGGGGCAAGGGCAGGTCACCTGCAAGAACCGGTAATATTTTGTGCGTTTCCTTGCCTTTGTTGACTTGCACATATGTGTTTTTCTTTGTTTTACATAGTCGTGGTGAGCATACTGTATATACACATTTGTATTCTGCCCTTTTTCACTTAACATCATGAATGTAAGCATTTTCCACGTTGCTTCAGACTCTGTAAACAGTTTAATGACTATGTAATAGTCCATTAAATGGGTCTCATGGTTTACTTTGTCATTGCTCATTTATTGGATTTTTAGGTTGCTTTGGGTGGTCTGAATAGCCACCAAGATGAACAAAGGGTTAGAGAGCTCAAATACCACATCCCTCGTGAAGCTGGCTCTGCTCACCCCAGCTTAACACACTTAGCCCGTTGAATCTGTACCAGTCCTGTGGCACATTACTTGTACATTGCCTGGTAGTTATGAACAATGCTGCATCACGTAATAGGTTACACACTCTGTAGGCAAAAGCCAGGTCAGTTCGTCTCAGCAACCCAGACAGCATAATGCTTTTGTACATAGTTAAGTACTCCGTAAATATTTATCGAATGAATGAATACAGAATGAGAAAAGCACCTAATCTTGGAAAAGATTTCTGGGTGAGAGGCTATCACATCTAAAACTTGTCTCCAAGGACAGGTATTGTGGCGCAGCAGGTTAAGCTGCAGTTTGGGATACCTGAATCTCATATGGGTGTGCCAGACCAATGCCTGGCTACTCCACTTTTGATTTGGCTTCCTGCTAATGCCCCTGAGAAGGCAGTAGGATGATGGGCCAAATACTTGGGTCCCTGTCACCTGACCTGAATGGAGTTCCTGGCTTCTGGCTTCTGGCTTCAGCCTGGCCCAATCCTGGCTGTTGTGGCCATTTGGGAGGGAACTAGCAGTTGGAAGATCTCTCTGTCTCTCCCTTTCTCTGTTACTCTGCCTTTCAAATAAAAATTTAAAAACTGATTGATTTGAAAGGCAGAGTTACAGAGAAAAGAAGAGACAGAGATCTTCCATCCACTGGTTCACCCCCCAGATGGCCACAGTGGCCAGCACTGGGCTCGGCCAAAGCCAGGAGCTTCATTCAGGTCTCCCGTGTGTGTGGCAGGGGCCCAAGTACTTGGGCCATCCTGTGCTGCTTTCCCAGGTACATTAGCAGGGAGCTGGATCAGAAGTGGAGCAGCCAGGACTTGAACTGATGCCCATATGGGATGCCAGCATCTTAGTCAACAGCTTTACCCACTGTGTCACAACGCCAGCCCCTACATTGTCTTTAGAAAGTGGAATAGTAACTATGTTTGATAGTTTAGATGTGATTTGGGCCTGTAGATGGGAAACACTAATTAGTTAACATTTGAAGAGTTCTTTGGGCCCATAAGTTTATATTCTACCTACAGACACTTTTTTTAATCATGTGTTCATGTTTTGTATTTCTTTCCAAAGGCAGGGGATGCTGCATGCTTCTATGATATAAAGTTGGGAAGGAGACGAGTAGAGCACCATGATCATGCTGTTGTAAGTGGAAGACTGGCTGGAGAAAATATGACTGGAGCTGCTAAGCCATACTGGCATCAGTCAATGTTCTGGTAATGGTCCTGTGCTTGCAGACTCTTAGTTAGAACTCGGTATTCATAGGCTCATAACCCAAAGTTATGACTTGGTTTCCTTGGGGGCCAGTTAGCTTCATATAGAGGGGGCAAAATTCCATCTCATGTCCATACATTCCATCCCCAGGTGGCCTTCTGGAAAAAGTCTCCTATTGGACACATAAGTTAGACTAGGTGAATGAATGAAGATGGCTCTAGCACGTCTGGGAAAATAGCTCACATTTTGAGCTATAGTAGATGGTACAAAAGAATACTCTTTGGTATACACAGCAGTGTATTTCAATGTGTTCTTTGCAGGCAATACCAATAAGTCAACATAGTGAAAAAAATAAATAACCCTCATATATAACCCTTAAGAGCAGTGACTCAAAGTCAGGCATTTATAGGCAGTTCTTTAGAGAAAGAAACATTAGCAGTGGACATTCTGGAGTCTTGGAACTGGCCCCATCTGACACGTTTTTATCTTGATGATTTGCAAGATGGGGTACATGAGCATTTCAAGGTTCCAGAAGCCCCTAGGTGGTTTCTCTTGGGAATATTCTCAGCAGATGGAAGTACAATTTAGGAGAGTCATGCACAGTTTTACAAGTGGGCAGCAAAAAAAAAAAAACAGATGAATTTCAGGGTCAACTCATGTAAGATAATGAATGCAGTCAGGAAAAAAATAGTCCTGACCTCTACAGTTCTCAGTCAGAGCCTAGGAGCAGATTCCAAGAAGTTGTTGTAGACCAAGCTACTACAGCCAAGAAGATAACAAAATGTAGAGTACCAGAAACAAAACCACCAGAGTATCTTAGATTAGCACCAGAAAACTTGGCAATAATGTGTCTGCGCCTCAAACGCTTTGTGAAGTCCCTAGCATATTAAGAACAGTGTGATGATGACAGGAAAAGTTTCTAAGAAGAGCAGTTAAGATAAAATGCGCAAGTGGATGAAGGTGCCTTGTTACACAGGGCAGTCCAGTCTCAGAAATGAAGGCTCAGAGGAAAGACCGTAGGTTAATAAAACCATAGAATGTCTCAGATTCTGAATTCTTAATATGGAACGCTCTAAATCTTCAAAAAAGCAGTTTTAGAATGAGTCAAAGGAAGGTAGTGAATAGCCAACATGAAGAACACATCATTACCCAAGTGTAGCATGGGATGAAAGCATGAATCGATGTAAGGTTTTGATCGTTACGTGATATGTACAAAAGCTCATGGGGAAATGAGGGAAAATATGTTTATGTGGCCCGTGTTGTGGCATGGCGGGTAAAGCCACCACCTGTGATGCCGGCATCCTAAATGGGCACGGGTTCATGTCCCACCTTCTCCACATCCAATCCAACTCTCTGCTAATGGCCTGGGAAGAGCAGCAAGAGGATGGCCCAAGTGCTTGGGCCCCTGCACCCCCTGGGAGACTAGGAGTAAGCTCCTGGCTCATGGCTGCAGCCTGGCTCAGCCCTGGCCGTTGCAGCCATCTGGGAAGTGAATGAGTAGATGGAAGATCTCTCTGTTGCTCTTTCAAATAAGTAAATCTTTTAAAAATGATAATTTTGTTTTGGTGCCCAAAAAACTTGAAATTCATGCAGTTTTTTTAATAACACATTTTCCACAAACTTTTTGAAGACCTCTTATACAGTGGCTTCTTTGTTTAAGATGTATTTATTTGAAAGAGTTACACAGAGAAAGAAAGACCGAGAGAGAGAGATCTTCCACCCGCTAGTTCACTCCCCAGTTGGCCACAATGGCCAGAACTGCACCGATCTGAAGCCAGGAGCTTCCTCCAGGTCTCCCACGCGAGTGCAGGGCCCAAGGAGTTGGGCCATCTTCTACTGCTTTCCCAGGCCATAGCAGAGAGCTGGATGGGAAGTGGAACAGCCAGGACTCGAGCCAGTGTCCATATGGGATGCCAGCACTGCAGGTGTTGGCTTTACCTGCTATGCTACAGCGCCGGCCACAGTGGCTTCTTAAGGAAAAATAAAAGCAGCCTGGGATAATGGTGCCTCTCATGGTTGTCCCCAGATGCCCTCCCAGTGACAGATCAGCTTGGCATTTCTCTTATTGTCACACAGCCTAAGTCCCTGAGCCCGTGCGAGAGTGACAGGACACCCTCTTCTCTCTCCTTCCTTAGGAGTGACTTGGGCCCCGATGTTGGCTATGAAGCTATCGGGCTTGTGGACAGCAGTTTGCCCACAGTTGGGGTTTTTGCAAAAGCAACTGCACAAGACAGCCCAAAGTCTGCCACGGAGCAGTCAGGTAAGGAAGCCCAACCACTTCGCTTGGAAAGAGTGTCGAGCAGCAGTGGTCCAGGTTCTCCTGAACAAGGGGTTCCTGTGTGGCCAGAGGGGGCTGCCAGTGAAAGCCTCTCTTCATGGTGTGCTTGACAAGAAACCAGACCCAAAGTCCTCACTCTTTAGTGGGCTGTGATCTGGCAAAAGCATGCATCCCGCTCAAAGCACAGACTGAAATAGTGTGGGTGGCGGGCAGCGGCGGCTCAGCCACCCCGTTGTCTCAGTTGTCTCTGGGGCCTGGCAAGACCCATGTGATGAAGAAAGCCTGACTTTGCAGGTTTGGGTTTTGCTTTTCTTGACTTCGTGCTAATCTCCAGAAGCAGGCTTGGGAACCTTAGCCTCGGACCTGCCGTCCTCCACGGCTCCTGGGCAGTGAACTGAGTAGGACTGAGTAGGCCTGGAGCCCATTTCTGTTCATCAGATCTGAATGCCAGATTGCCTTTAGACAGGAGGCACCTCTCTTGGAATGGACTTCTCTCCCACACACGTCTCTTTCATTAACTCCCAGGCCTTATTCCACGACCTTGGCTCAAGTTCTTTAACCTCTGTATCTTCTTGCCAAAGGTGTTTCAAGGGCAAGTTGCTCTTTAAGAAGCAGAAAACGAAACATTATTTGGATGTTTAGGTCCCTTTCCTGTGTGACTCAAATGTATTCCATGCCTCTTAATTCTGGGCAGTCCTGGTACGTGGGTCCAGGAGAGAGGGCCACGTGCTTTATAGATACCAGGTCACTCACTGCTCTGTCCACTGGGCAGTGTCACTTAGAGCCTGCTGGTTCTCAGAAGACAAGATTCCCCCTTCCCAGGGTGCCATCTCCCTCCTTCCCTTACCCCTCCCCCTCTAGGAAGAAACGCCCCCGCTCTGGTTTTTCCATATGGAAGTGCCTTCTGCTTAGAGTGTCTGCTTAGCAGTGCCATCCAATAGAACCTTTTGCTATGATGGAAATGTTCTGGCTCTGCTCTCTCCACTTGGGGCTACTGAGTGCCTGAAACGTGGTGAGTGCAAACAAGTAACTCGAGCTGACATTTTACTTAACTTGAAATAATTTTCATTTAAATAGCTGTATGTGGCTTGTGGCTAATGAACAAGGCCATGCAGCTCTACAACGTTTCAGATGACAAAAACAAGAGCTCTGCAGTTTGAAGAAAATCAGACACAAGGAAACATGCACCGCATAAGTGGAGGCTGAGGGGCTGGTGTTGCGGCACAGTGGGTAAGCTGCTGCCTGCGGTGCCAGCAGCCCATTTTGGAGCACTGATTCCAGGCCTAGCTGCTCCACTTCCGATCCGGCTCCCTGCTAACACACCTAGGGAAACAGCGAATGATGGCCCAGGTACTTGGGCCCCTGCTAACCACATGGGAGACCCAGATGGAGTCCCAGGTTTCTAGCTTTAACCTAGCCCAGCCCCAGCTGTTATGGCCATGTAGGGAGTGAATCAGTGAATGAAAGATCCCCCCCCCCTTCAAATAAATGCATCTTTTAAAATATTTTAAATGAGATAGGAAGGGAAGGGAATTTGGGGTCAGGACTGGTCCAGTGCCCAAGAGCTGGCAAGAAAGAATTTTTCTTGGCTTCATCAGTAGAGAGGGGCTGAAGATGGCCAGAGTCCACCAAAAAAGCATACAAAAATCACCTAGAAGCAGCTTGAAGCAAGCCTTGGAAAAAAAAACTTGCCTTCTAGAATGTCATAAGGACTGAAGTTTTGACTGTGTATATGTGTTTTGTGTATTGGCCACAGGAACAGGTATCCGATCGGAGAGTGAGACAGAGCTGGAGGCCTCAGAAATCACGATTCCTCCCAGCACCCCTGGTGTCCCACAGGCCCCAGCCCAGGGGGAGGACTATGGCAAAGGTGTCATCTTCTACCTCAGGGACAAAGTGGTGGTGGGGATCGTGCTGTGGAACATCTTTAACCGAATGCCAATAGCAAGGAAGGTAGGTACCTGCCAGAGCACTTGGAGGCAGATGGGAAGTTGGGGCTAGAATGCACTCCTGTGGCTTCACCGGGTGCCCTGAGCTGCATCATCACCCCGGTGCAATGGTGCCCAAGCAGAACAAAGCTGTAGCCTGGGTTCAGGAGTGTTTCCTTTTTGCCCTGGGATGGAGCTGGGTGCGCTGTGAATTGGCACACTGGTCATTTTGAGCTAGTAGAATGCTGTTCCCACAACTCCCTCCCAGTGTGATATGGGCCCAGCCTGAACATGGCTGGGGTGAGTTCGGGACCTGTGCTTACTCTCTCCTTCAGATCATTAAGGATGGCGAGCAACACGAAGACCTCAATGAAGTAGCCAAACTGTTCAACATCCACGAAGACTGAAGCCCTGTAATGGAGTAGGCCAGCACGTCTTCCTCCCCGACTGTGGCTTGGATGGGCAAAGGAGCGGGGTTTTTTTAATTATTATTATTATTCAGCAAACTTTCTCTGGTGTAGAAGTGTGAATGATCAATTCCCTTGGGAATATTTTCAGCCACATAGGCAAATTCTTAATGTTCACATCATGAAATAAAATCTGATTCTTCTAAATTCCATTCTGTTCTCTTGTAAAGGGGGCAGGTGAGTGAAGGGGGAAAGCTGTGCATACGACACAAAAGCAAGCACTTTGCAGCTACTCCACACTCAGAACTCCTTTCAGCTCCCCCAGTCCCCTCCCTCTCCAGACCCCCCTCTGCGTGCACCTGCGGTGGCTTCTGCCCACAACACTTAACCCTGTCCTCTCAGAGGTTCTGTCTGAACACTCTCCTGGCCCTTCAAGCCTGATCCTTGTTTGTCTCTCTGCTAGCCCGTGGCTTCCTGGAAGCAGGAACTATGCCTTAAGGTCTCAGCCATGGTTCTATCTCTGGAGCTTAGCCCAGGGTCTGGCTCCTAGTAGGTGCTTAGTAAATTGTTGCTGAATAAGTGAAGAAATAAACATCCAATCAAGAGATTGGATGTTTACATGGAGCAGCACCTCCAGAGCTGAATGACTCCTAACTGGGGGATGAAAGGAGGTTTCCTCTTGGGTCTCATGGTCTCTGGATTCCTCTATCCACTGTGCCCCAAACTACTGACCTGCCCTCTTGAGCTCCTTTTCTCTAAACCATGCTTATAGGCATCCCTCCCTCTGCACATGATTTCTTGGGGGAGACAGAATTCCCTAAGCTCATTTGTTGGCATTTTAAATTACTAAACTTTTAAAAATCAGATCTTACTTCAATTAAGAGGAAATTTTTACTACTTTTAAAAGTCCTGTTAGGAATATTTCTGTAAGGAGAAAATTATGACATCTGGGTTTTTTAAAATATTCCATTTGATTAAAGGGACTTGCAGCTCCAACCAAATCCCTTCTGAACAGAGGGAGAACAGGCCAGATCTCCACTGTAAGAACTGGCTGCACTAGAACAGACCCTTACTATGTGGCTGCAGTTTAGTGGACATGAGCTGATGCATGCCGTAACCAAATCCATATGTAAAAAACTCATCTAGGGACTAGCATTGTAGTGCAGTGGGTTAAGCCACCACTTGGGATGCCCCAAAATGCTTGTTTGAGTCCTGGCTACTCGGTCAATCCCACTTCCTGCTAATGCACATGGGAAAGCAACAGAAGGTGGCCCAAGTACTTGGGCCCCTGCCATCCATGTGGGAGACCCGGAAGGAGTTCCACACTCCTGACTTTGACCTGGCCCAGCCCCAGCTGTTGTAGGCATTTGGGAAGTGAACCAGAAGATGAAAAATCTCTGTCTCCATCTCTCCCTTACTCTGCCTTTCAAATAAATAAGGAAATCTTTTTTTAAAAAAAATAAATCTAGTATCCTGCAAGATAGGAATTGTTACACAGCAATAACTGCAGCTTACAGAGATGGAGGCAAAACCTCTAAGACTCTGAGATGTTCCACAAGTCATTAAAAACAGATCCAATTGTGATTTATCTTGTTTTAGCAGTATGTGCAATTTAACCTCATTCTATGACAGTTATTACACCTGTCTAGCATGCCATTACAATTTGGTTAATTAAAATTAAATGGTCTGTTCACCTAATCAATGTTCATTGAGTGCCTACTACAAGCCATGTACATGGCCATATTGGAAGATGGATAAGACACGGCTCTGCTTTTCAGGAACTCTGCTGTCAGTGGGAAAATGCAGATGTGCGGGTTCAGACGTACAATGCAGTGAGCTATGTCGCTAGGAAGGCACACAAGATACCGTGGATATGCCAAGAATGGAGCGATCAGTGAGGGCACCCATCCTTGGTCAGCCATGGTTGCTCCATCACTTCCTAAAGCACCACTTGGTCCATGTCCCCTCCCTGTTTAAGAACGTACAGCGTGCAGGTGCTGTGGCACAGCAGGTTAAGGCCCCAGCCTGTGATGCTGGCATCCCATATGGTCCCAGCTGCTCTTCCAATCCAACTCCCTGCTAATGCACCTGGGAAAGCAGTGGAGGATGGCCCAAGTGCTTGGGCCCCTGCACCCACGTGGGAGACCCAGAAGAATATCCTGACTCGCTTCGGATTGGCACAGCTCCAGCCATTGAGCCATTTGAGTAGTGAACCAGTGGATGGAAGACCTCTCTCTGTGTCTACCTCTCTCTGTAACTCTATCTTTCAAATATTTAAAATCTTTAAAAAATTATATACAGTGATACCCTGTCAAGAGCCATATTGAGTCCAAATTCTCCATTATGCCAGCCCATTTGGCCTGCCCAACCTCCTTTCCTATGAGATTTTTTTTTAGGATTTGTTTATTTGTCTGAGAGGCAGAGTTGCAGAGAGAGAAAGAGGTCTTCTATCCGCTGGTTCACTCCCTAAATGGCCACAACCACTGGAGCTGGGTCAGGCCAAAGCCAGGAGCTTCTTCCAGGTCTCCCATGCAGGTGTAGAGGCCGAAGGACTTGGACCATCCTCCACTGCTTTCCCAGTCCATAGCAGAGCTGGATGGGAAGTGGAGCAGCCAGGACTTGAACTGTCATCCATATGGGATGCTGTTACTGCAGGCGGCAGCTTTACCCATTATGCCACAGTGCCGGCCCCTCCCCATGAGTTTTGAGGTTTTGTTTTTTTTTTTTTAAGATGTACTTATTTATTTGAAAGACATAGTTGTTACAGAGAGGCAGAGGCAGACAGAGAAGGTCTTCCATCACTGGCTCACTCACCAGATGGTCGCAACGGCTAGAGCTGCACCGATCTGAAGCCAAGAGCTTCCTCCGGATCTCCCACGCAGGTGCAGGGGCCCAAGCACTTGGGCCATCCTCCACTGCTTTCCCCGGCCACAGTAGAGAGCTGGATCAGAAGTGGAGCAGCCGGGACTTGAACCAGTGCCCATATCGGATGCCAGCACTGCAGGCGGTGGCTTTACCAGCTACGCCACAGCACCGGCCCTTCCCATGAGTCTTAACAGGCACACAGAGACACACACATCTGGTTCAGTGCCACCTTTAAACTTGTGTCAATGTTCATCACACCTGGAACACCATTTCTCTTCCCTTTTAGCAAGCCAAATCCTGTTCAAGACCCAAATCAAGCCACTTCTCATCTCTGAACTCCACTTGCACCTACAGCCTTTGAGCTTATTTATTTGAAAAAGAGCTCTTCATCTGCTGGTTTACTCTCCAAATGGCCATAACAGCCAGGGCTGGTCCAGGCAGAAGCCAGGAGCTAGGAGCTTCTGGGTCTCCCATCTGGGTGGCAGGTGCCCGAGCACTTGGGCCATCTTCCACTGCTTTACCCAGACCATTAGCAGGGAGCTGGATGGAAAGTGGAACAGCTGGGACTTGAACCAGCGCCTATATGGGATGTCTGTTCTTTAAGTCATTCTGAAGGGATTTTAAAGCATCCCGGAGCAGGCTGGTTTTTCTCCCGTAGGATAGGGACCACATGCTGTACCCCCAAAAGCCTTGGCAAAGTGCTGAAAAGGTCTTTGGATGACGCTCGATACCAGGGCTGACTGTAGAAGTGAGCCTCTTTCTTGGAGCTGCTGAGCTCCATAATTCAGGGTTATGAGACACCCTCCCCCATCACGTCATTCACTGCCACAACTTGCCACTTACCCCAGGATGCACTTAATCTAGCCTGGACCCAAGGATCACAGGGTCTGATTTCAGACTTCACAGGGCCAGTTGAGGTTGGGCCCTCCATAGCCGGAGCTTCGCCAGAACATCAAGCATTTGGAATCCACCCACTTGACTTCAACCTCACTTTCCTTTGCCATTTTTACAAATGATAGCAGATGGTAGCATGGCACCACTTTGAGATGGCACTGGCCTCTGCCTGGCTACCCGTAAAGCAGAGCGGGGCTGGCCTCATAGTTTAAAGCTGGAGAGATGGAACTGAGCAAAGGCAGTTTATTTGCTTGGAAAGGGGTCAGATTGAGCCTCTCAGTGCAGGATGAGGTCAACATATGTGATTTTTTTTTTTTGTTCTAATCAACAAGGCCTGTTTTGGAGACAAGAGGCTTAAAACAGAAAGGAATGGGGGTGGGAATCCACAGTGACCTACTGCAGGCTGCTTCCTTGAAGGAAAATGAGCAGCTTCTCAAGAGACCCATTTAGACAAAGGAACTCTCCCCTCCCTTCCACCCCTACCCCTTCCCTTTCCCGCTCCCCTCATGTTTGGCTGCTGCAATATCCCTTCTGTCCGTGTTCCCCTGACCCCACCTAACGCTGGGCACCCTTGCTAGCCTCGAGCTTGCGGGGCCCCAGTCCCAGTGCCTTGCTTTCTGGGCAGAAGGGAACTCCTGCCAGGCTCCGAGGTGAGGGAAGGACTGCCTCTGGCCTCTTTCCCACCTTATCAGGGAATTTCTGGCGGGCACAGACACATGTACACAAAACCACACACAGATACACAGAGCCCAAGCCAGTGATGATGTTCCCCTGCCTGGCTGGTTCTACATATGGGTGTGACTAGGTCAGAGTACAGGGAGGGTCTAAATATTTAGATACTGGACTGCCAAGGCCTGGTTGGAAACCAGGGAGCATCGCAAAATGGACATTCTGGGGATGGAAAACAGCCCCTGACATGTGGAAGCTCGCCTGCTACTGGCAGCAAGGCCTCAGTGTTGCTAGCAAGCGGCCTAGCACTTAAAAAGTGACGTCTGCGGCACACAGACGGACTCACTACATCGTCGTTCCTCATGATCACTCTGTGACCGTGATGAGTCAAGACAGCAACAAGACCACTCCATAATCATGTGTGAGCACAGACAACAACAGGAACGGTGCCCAAACCACCAAACTCGCCCAGCACCTCCCTGTCCTGGCTAATCTGAGTGCCTGCGGCTTCCTTAGCCATCGCAGCTCCAGCCTCGCTCTGGCTCTGCCTGCCTACTGGATCACGTTTCTTTAATAAAGATACGCAACTGGTTCAGAATGACCCGCTGCTTCCTGACGGCACCCGATCCACAGCAACACTGGGCTTCATTCAGCCCTCCCCAAATCCCCCGACCCAAGCCAAACCCTTTCTGAAGTCTTTCCCGGGACGCTCTTTCTGAGATATCCCATGATTCTCCACAGCGTGCCTTCTCTCTTGCTGCAACGGGCAAGACACCCTA